CACAAATGTTCCCTTTTCGTGTTTAATCTTTTCCATGTCTTAATGTGAGTTTGCCATATTGTAATGTATCAGCTGAGGGTGGTTCCATATTTGTTGCAAACTTGCCTATGGACGCTACAGAGGAGCAACTCAATGAAGTATTCAAAGGTTTTGGTGTTATCAAGGAAAAAGGTATCCAAGTTAGAAGCTACAGGGTGAGTTGTTTATGAATTGATCTTTAGAGGAAACATGTATTACTTTGTTCCACCTCCAAAACTTTTAACCATCCAAATATTTTCAATTTTCAGCATAAGGGAAACTGTTTCGGTTTTGTGACATACGAAAATGCTGAAGCTGTGAAACTGGTCATCAAGGTATCGTTAGACATTGTCTTAATCTCTTACAACTTTTGATTTAAAAGCCTGGATTTTTCTTCTGATTATAAACTGGCTGATTACAACTCTAGGCTCACAAAGAGTCAGCCATCAGAATTGGAAACAGGAGAGTTTCTATAGAAGAGAAACGAGGTAAGTTAAAAGTGAAGTTTACTACTTAGTGAATACTGTCACCAAAATCTAAAAACTCAAACCCTTGAGATTCTGCTTTGCAGGCAACAATGATGGTACATCCTCAATGCGAAACGGAGGTTATAGGAGCGAGAACGGTTACAGGAACGACGGGTTTAGGCCTCGTGGCAACGGTTATAATGGAGGACGAGGCTATGGAAGAAATGGAAATGAGAGACGGGGAGAATCACGCAACGGTGAGGCTAGTAATGGTGATGGCAAAGTTTCTCAGAAGGGTACGGTGAAAGCTGGCCGTGAAAATGCTCAATCCAGAGACTAAAAGAGTTTAAAGTCTTGTTTCTTTATATTCTGAATGTTGTTGTTATTGTTCATTTGAAATTGAGAATCTGAAGTTTTTTATAGGAAGAGGAGAGTGCGAGAAATTAAAAGTTTTGTTGGAGTAGGTTTTATCATCTCTTAGGCGATATGCCCTTCTTTCATTTGAGCTTTTGTTTGGGATCATATTTTTTTTTTATATTGAGTGATGGAGGGATTTAATCGTAGTGTATATTATATTAGGGACTAAGAAAAGGAAAAGAAAAAACCATTACTTTTAAGAGATAAAGAAAAAGAAAAAAAATCCTAATCCTAATCTGTGAGAGATTACGAAAAAGAGAGAAAGAGATAATCTTAAGATAATTTAAGAAAAACGATATTTTAAGGAAAAGTCTTTTAAGATAATTTTTTTTCGTTATAAAATTATAAATCAATAATTAAATATTTAAAAAATTTAACGTTTTTTATTAGTCGACTTTGACTTGCTTAGTAACTTTGAATCATTCGGTTTTATATATTTAAAACTGAAATATGATTTTTTTTTTAATTTTTAATTTTTTATCTCTTAATCCTTTTTTTTTTAGAATTGTCTATTTATTGGTTTATTAATATTTGTTTTGACGTTTATTTTTTTCGTTTTTCAAAACAGTTTATTTTTAATTTCCATATTCTAATATGAGAAAGTCCATATATATAATTGAAGAGCATATACAGTATCTCCCTCACATCTAAATAAATAAAGAACATAAAACCAAATCCATTCTTGTGTTTCAGATCGTATTGTCATGAACGCCGAAACATCCTTCGACCACGAAATAGACAAGAATCCAAAACCGGAAGATGCTGGTACAATAAAAATCTACGCAAGTATTGTTGGAATGTTTGATCCTGTACGAACATGCCCTACGTCCCCAGTTAAATGTCGTATCAATGGATTCGTTAAAGATTTTGGAGGCAGCAGTGTACTGAATCCATTCTTGAGCGATGCTGGGATTGATACCGAGGTACTGTTAGGCCTCTAAATGTTTGTCGATAATATTGTGCATTGGTCGCCTGAGTATTCTCCAGGTTGTGCTTTGTCAGTGAGAATGGCTATTGATCCCATTCCTCCTCCTCAAATAGAAGAGGAAGAGGAGGCAGTGGTTCAATTCTCATTCGATGAGACCAATATCGGATTTTAGACCCGCAAGCAAGCTCGCTGTCATGTCCCTGAACAAGAAAATCTACGACACGGACAAGGAGGCTATGTCTATAACGACGTGTGATGATAGTTGCGCGATTTGTCTAGAGGAGTTTGGCGCCGGCAGAATAGTCGTGACCTTATCCTGTGGGCACGCGTTTGATGATCAATGTATCGTCGATTGGTTTAGGACCAGCCACCTTTGTCCATTGTGCCGTTTCAAGTTGCCTATTGAAGGTGAGAATTAAGGTTTTCTGATCATAATTCAATATTTGTCTTCAAATAGTATTATCAAGGAGATTTTGGCACTTTAAATACTACTGTGTTTCCAGTTTCAATCTTTTTTTTTTTCTTGCGATTATTAGATCGAATTGAAAATGCTCAATCCAGAGTCTTTTTTTTTTTTTTTTAAATACTCTAATGTTGTTTCTATTGTTCATTTGAATTTGAGAATCTAGAGTTTTATAGGAAGACAGAGAGCGAGAGAGATAAATTAGAAGTTTTAGTGGAGTAGGTTTATCTCTTAGGCGATCTTCCCTTCTTTCATTTGAGATTTTGTGTGGGATAATATCTTTTGATTTGATTGCATTTTTCTTTCCGATCTGAATCACCAAGCTTTATATGGACCGGTTTTCATCATAACCAAAAGATAACCGGACGTTCGTTGTACATTGAAAATCATTAACCGAGTTTTAAGTTCACTGAAAATGTTAAAATACTCCAAATCAAACAAAGTAACTACAATCCATAAAAACCTTAATTTTAAGTTTAAATTCCAAAGTGGACAGCCCATACCTTATGGGCTTGGCTATGGGGAAGCAGCGACGTCGTATAGTTTTCTTTATCAGTTGCACTATTACATGAACCAACATGTGAATGACACGTGTCAATTTCGTTTTGATGCTTTATAAATCTTCAAGTTGGTCCCCCACTTGACTCAAACAAAGTGACCCACCAAGGATTCTTAAAAATCTTCTTTTTCAACTTGTAGATTTCATTCTCCAACCTAACTATCACTGAATCAATAACACTCGACTTTACACAAAATTGGATTATAAACTACTCTTCTCTATCACAAGATTAGTATAGTTATATATATTTTTTTACATTAAATACTTTATAATTATATTTAGTCTTTTACTAGATTTATTGAACTTGCCTTTTGTGGAATTATTAAGTAAATTACCTTTTCTTTTTATTAACATGGAAGAAGTGTTATTATCCGTCACTTTTTCACAAGCAACTTGCTTCGTCGTGGGTCCCTCGGTCCAACCCACGTGAGTGACGTTGTCGAGTCGCTAGATTTATCAATTTCAATTATGTGTTTCCTCTGTTCTTTCTTACCTCTCCAAATCAAATTTCATTAGACAAACTTCATTTTTGAAATTATTATCATCCGAAGTAATAAGAGTCAATTTGCTAGAAATATCAAAACGTGGTTAAAATTAGTTAAATAAGAAAGAGAAGATGTAAAACTCCATTTACAGTATTTAGTCGGTATGTTAATTACTTTCTAACCCTTCTTGTTTTTTTATTATTATTTATTAACTTAATTTTCGTCACGAGATGTTTTTCGCTCTCATCTAGTTAATATATAAGTTATACAATTACATAACTTGTTAACAAACTACATATGTATATATATAGCTAATACAATTACATAACTTGTTAACAAAGTATATATTTTATTAGCATGATAAATTTATACATTTTTAACATACTCCAACGTGATCAGACACTAGATAGCCGCCAAGATATTTGCGTCTGACAACGACTTATAGTGGTCGAAATCAAGATTCAATGACAGCGTCGAAGGATCGTGTTGAAGGCATCACGCAGATTGAATAACAAACAAATTTGATGAGAGATGTGGCGGAGAATTTGGATCTCTCGTCGATCTGATCACGTGTTTGATTTCTCCAACCTCTGTATTTCTTCCGTCAAACTAGTGGAATCTATAAAACCTAAATCGCTGAAAATCTCAGTTAGCTTCGATTGATCTGGTAAGATCTGATGCTTGATTTTGGTGATTGTGTCCGTCACTTTATGACAGAGAGCTTCGTCGCAAAGATCAATGAACTAAAACAAGTTATGGATCAATATCCCGTTAGATTATGGTAACAAGTTACATGTTATTGTATCATGTTAAAATTTATTGTATCAAGTAAATATGTAAATGTACTGCTAACACTTGTTTTAACATGGTAACTTAATCATTGTTGGTTAACTTACATGTTATCTATAAGTGTTTGCATGTTATTATACGATTTAAACATTTTGATATAGCTCTAATTTTTTATTTCACAAGATAAGTAAAATTGTAAATCATCAACCTTTAGATTAACTTATTATATTCATCAGAAAACATTGATTCTATATTTCATCTTCAATCTCCAGAAACCACAATATATGAACAATAGTCACCAATAATAACTAGAAATCAAAATCATAATCAAAATCGTAACTTTTGATTTGTTTTCATCAAGGACTTTAAAAATAGTTGAAATGGTTTTCGATTTCTGGTACGAGTTTATCCTTTCACCAATCGGCTCTTGCCTGGCAGCGAAGAACCTCTCGGAGAAATTCAGATTCGACATCTACAGAAATGTTAACACGCAATCGATGAAATTAGATGTGAAAACTGTATAATAGAAATAAAAAAGTTATGGGATTTCGATTTCTGGTACGAGTTCACCCTTTTACCAATCGGCTCTTGCTCGGCAGCGAAGAACCTCCCGGAGAAATTCAAATTCGACATCTACAGAAATGTTAACATGCAATCGATGAAATTAGATGTGAAAACTGTATAATAGAAATAAAAAGTTACGGGATTTAGATACTTACTGATTTATAAAGGATGAGAGATGCAGCAGAGGAAATTGTATATAGGGGTCTAGGCGAAAAGATAATGTAAGGGCATTAGTGTATTTAAAAAAAAATAATAGTGTATTTTTCCATTTAACTAAATATGAATAGTAAAAAGGTTATCTAGCACAAATTTTTAAGTAATAATTTTAAGCACTTGGAAATGGAATCGATTCTGGTTTTTAGTTTTTTTTTATTAAAAAGTTTAATCTGGTTTAGAAGTTTTTACTTTATTGGGGCCGAAGATAAGAAAAAATTGGAGACAAAAAAATAAATAGAGAGAAAACGGATCTTTTACCTGGGAGACACGTGTCGTGACTCTGATTAACTCAGTCGCTTTAAGACACGTTTCTTCAAGCAGCGCTATGGAACGCCGACGTAATCCACCGGCCACGTGTCGTTCAGGCAGCTCTCTCGGCGGCCACTTGCCTCCTCTCAGTCAAGGAGCTGTCTCTCTTTCTTCTTCTTTTTCTCTTTTATCTCTCTAATGTCTAAAAAGGGTTTTCTTCTTCTTCTCCGTCTCTACTCTTCAACTGTCGATTTTACCTCTTCGTCTTCTTCGCCATCTCTGGTAACTCCGGCGAGTTCTGTTCCATAATTATTTTCTCCGTATGTAATTGTTCCATTATATGTTTATTTCATGATTTTGTGAGATTTTCTGTGGAATTCTGATTTTGACCTGATGTGACATTCAGAATTTTCATTTCTTCTTTAAGTAAGGAGAACAAAAAAAAAAATCTCGTTTCTCTTTCCGTTTCTGTTGTTCCGGAATCTATGGGGGAAGAAGCAAGCAGACAACAAAGGGCATGGAACAGAGAAATGACGGTGTCGACAAATCTTTCTCTGGACATAGATAAATACCCGAGAGATCTGTTACGAGGTTTTATGTCTGAAAACGGCGGTGGAAGATCGTTTCATGGTGGAGAAACAGACTGCGATGATGAGAGTGCGATTGAGCTGAATCTGGGTTTGTCTTTAGGAGGTCGATTCGGAGTAGACAAGACTCCAAGGAAGCTCAAACGATCTTCCTCTGTTATCGGAACTGTGCCGTTTGATGACTCGACGACGTTTGTGTCCGAGACGGAGGTCGAGCCGGAGAATTACACGGTGGGTTTAGCTAGAACGACGTCGTTACCGGCGGAGATGGAAGAGGAATGGAGGAAAAGGAAAGAGATGCAGTCGCTGAGGAGAATGGAAGCTAAGAGGAGGAGATGTGAGAAACAGAGTTTCAGAGTTGACCAAACGCCGTCGTTTGAGTCCGAGAGATGGGCCACTGCGAGTAAAAGCGGGTTTTTGCAGAGACATTTGGTTTCTTCTAATGGACAAGTGTCTTTTGATTCCGATGGAGGAAGAGGAGGAGGAGGCAGCTCTTCATGCTTGTCAGAGCTGGACAACAAGAATCAACAAGGTAGAGTTCAATTTTTTTTTGCTTTTTAAGATTAGTGACATTGTTGTTGGAAAGAAACTGAGAAAACTTGAACTGTCTTGTAGGTTCATCAAACAGTTGCGGTGACGAAAGAAGCCCGAAGATCATGACAAGATGTTCTTCTACTAGCGGAAGCCAAGGAACGGAGAAACCAAGAGCGAATGAGAAGGAGAATGAGAAAGGAGTGAGAAGAGAAGATGAATCTGTGGATAGGAAAGGCAAAGGCACGGCTACGTCTACTGGTTTGTTCGACATGCCTTGTGTGTTTACCAAAGGAGACGGTCCTAACGGAAGACGTGTTGATGGGATTCTGTACAAGTACGGGAAAGGAGAGGAAGTTCGGATAATGTGCATTTGCCATGGCAGTTTCTTGACACCCGCTGAGTTTGTTAAACATGGTGGAGGAGGAGATGTGGATCGTCCTCTTCGGCATATCGTTGTCAATACTTCTTCGTCAACGTTTTGAAACAAAGAAAGAACCGGATGTGTATTTCTCTTCTTGTTTCATTTCTTGTTGTTTTTATCTTTCGGATTTCTGCTTAGTTTGGCTTTGAGAATGAAAATGCCAAATCTCAATCTTGGTGTTGAGGATTAGGATGAAGATCAAGATTCTCTTGTATTTTAAGTGTAATACATGAGAACATCAAAAGAACCATCAAATGAGTGTCTAAGAACTGAAACTTCAGTTATGTCGGAAGATGATAAATAAGTCGGGAAGAAACCTTTCTGAAACTTAAATTGTCAGTGCGTATAATTGATGTGTGTGTGATCCCTACAACAGAGAAAGAGTTCACGCAGTTGCAAGATCGTATTCTTATGAAGCAAGTGTTGTTGCGGGGCAACTATCAACAGCACAAGCCAAGACGTCACTGTAATCTCTTGATATCTTGAATGAATCATGGACTCGTCCGTCGCTGCTCTTCTTGTACTCGAACAGAAGATTGGAGTAATCAATTGCTGTAAGTTTAACGAATCCGTAGTCGTAATCTCTGAACAGACTCCAATTCGGTTGTAGCTCGGAGAATTCAGCAAGACCAGCTCCTCCACCTCCAGCAACAACGTGGATCGTCCCATTCAACGGACCCTTGTAGTTGCTCTTCTCATTACTCGTGCATACACTCTACACACACACACAAAAAGCAACAGAACAATGGAGTGATTTTTTGTTTTTTATGAACCATTCTTGATATACTTGTGGTGGATGTTTACCTGATAAACCGGGCATGTTCTCTCGTAGTTATGTGCGTGGCCATAGATTGCAATGTCGACTTTGTATTTCTGCCAGAGCTTTTGAAGACTATCTCTTCCCATTGGTTCGCCAAAAGAGCCTTCTTCTGCATAGAACGATGTTGAGGAATAGCCGAGCACTCGATGAGCTAAGAATATGAGCCACGGCTGCTTTTTTCTGTCCACTGATGCTAAGCAATGCTCGATGAAGTTGTATTGCTCTGTTCCTTCTCTCCAGTCGTGTTCTGTGTCAGCCACGCAGAATCTAAACATTCCATAGTCACTCGAGTACCAGAACTTGGCTCTGTTTTGAGCAGGAACGTAGAACATTGTCTCCGCTGGTACACCGCATTCTCCTCCAGAGTCTAAATTCTGGTAAAACGATCCCGAGTTGGGCCAGTCACGTTCATGGTTTCCGCTGCAACAGAGCCAATATATGCGGGACTCGGTAAACAAGAAAGCCAACAACTTTGTAAGAAAGTAAAGAAAAAAAAGGTAAAACCTTGCAATCATGTATGGAACAGTGGAAGCAATTGGCTCAATCTGAGCTGTGAATTGGTCCCATTGCGAAAGGTATCCGTTTGCATAACAGATATCTCCAATATGGAAAACTGCATCTGTCTTCTTTAGATCTTTGATAAGCTGCTTTGTGGTGTTGAGAGAAGCGCGTTGGAAATCGTTGTACTCGTTTGAGCCATCAACCTCAGCCTGGAATATAGAACAAGAAAGGTATGAATGTGGCTCAGAGACAATCTGATCTACTCTTAGTCTTAAAAAATATCAAACCTTTCCCATGTCTCCAAAGATGACAACATGTTGGAGAGAGTTTTGGCCTGGAAATGGAGAAGATTTGAATTGATACTCTTTACTCCAGACGAATGCACCGTTGGACAATCTATGCCCAACTCTGTAGGTATATCTGTATAACAATCATATCAAGTCTCAGTGATTCATGCATATATATTAGGTCCCTCCCTTAAGCCGATTACTCGTTTTAGAACAGAGAAAACACATGGCACATACTTGGAGTTAGGCCACAACTCTTTGAGAAAAGCTGTGTGTATGTATCCGGGATCACGCCATCCCACCGTTCTTGCAGGAGCACCGCACATGCTATTACGCTGGAAGGTCAATGTCCCAGCAGGTGAGAGTTTACGCTCTCTTCCTTTGACTCCCCACTCGACAACAGGTTCAGCAATGTTGATTCCATAACCACTAGTCCATGTCACTGTCATCTATTCACAGATTCATTGCCACTTCTTTGGGTCATTTCCACAGAAAATAATCATCAGAGGGTTTTCAGAAACTTACTTCATCCCATTCTTTGCCTAGCGCAAGACGCGGGTAAACTGGTGCATTTGGGTTCTCAAAGCTTACTTTGTTTGAGACTGCCTCAAGCTTTGGCTATAACACAAGTTAAAAGCAAAACCAAGGAATGGTTAACTAAAAACCTTTGAAGCTAAAGAACTTGTTGGTGAATGAGAGTGTTACATTCAACAAACCGCCAGAAAAGAGCGCGAAAGAGAAATCAGATCTCTGGTTGATCAGTTGAAGCTTCAAGGAACCGAAGCCGGTATTGTTGTATCTTGTATTACTATAGTTTGCATATTGAAACTGCAAAAGAGGAAAAAAGCTAAACACTTGTTACAGAGAAGAAAAATCAAGAACAATGGTAAATCATGCTATGAGAGAAAAGAAAAACCTTGATAGGAGCGGAACACAGCTGAGGTGGATTCACCATTTTGTTATCTCCTGGACAAGCCGAAGCACTGTAGGAACAACAACAAAAAGTATTAAACATAACACTCATTGTTTCAGTCTCAGAACGAAGTTGATGAGAATGAATGTGTTAATCTACTTGAAGTCTGCAGGAGAAAACACTCCAATCCAATCATCATCTGATGGTTTCGGAGAGCTATATTCGACCAACACCATTTCACTATGTTGAACCTGCCAAATAAAAAAAAAAAGAATTGAAGTTTAGCATTTCATCATAAATCCAAGGAAAGATCTGAAATATCTATAAAAAGGAGAGAGAATAGTTATTACATTAGATCCAAGAACTGTTGGGGAGGCTTTGACATAAGCTTTTTCAATGAGATTGAATGTTGTTTTATGGATAGCAATTCCTGATAAAGGTTGGTCTTTATGAGATTTCACTTCTTGAAATGCTGCAAGAGCTAACAGTACAAAAGTCACCAAGATTGCAAGAGCTTGTTCGTCTCTCATGTCGTAAGAGAAAGAAGATACTGAAACACAAGAGAAACCACATGTGAGCAGAAATTGAACACTTGGTCAAATCCAAAATCATCAAAGTCAAGTGGGCATTTGAAGAAAACCAAAAACACAACGAATTTGCAATTGGATTCAAAAAGACAGATTGAGGACATTACCAGTGAAAACTTCGTTTTGCTTTTAATCAAACGAATCGGAGCAATACGAGAAAATGAAAGATTGTAGCTTTGAAGGAAATTAGAAAAATTGGAGGAGTCCTTTAAAAAAACTGGGGCTAAGTTTTAGAATATGCGGTCTTGAGATTCCCACATCAAAGGCTTTGCTCGTCAACGGCCAATTTTCATGACACTAGAGTAGGATTCACATCAGAAGTTTAAATTTGATTCGCACTGTTTTGACTTTGGGATTTCAATACTGTTTATTTTATAGGAAAGACGAGATTTTTCTGATGTCTTTAAAAAAGGAACAATATATATGTTACATTTTTATCCTCGAGTCTCATAAGAATCTTTTGGTTTAAAATCGGATCGGCTTTCTTAAGATCCAAACCGGACCCAAACTTAGATAAGGTAGGACGTTGTACCAAATAATAAAAAACACTGAACTGATTTTTAAGTTTAGGTAATGAAAATCAACCAACGTCAAAACACAACACAATAAACTGAATACCACATGCTGAATCTGAAAAATAATAAACATAACAGAGCAACCACGAAATATTCTGCCCAAAAAAGAAGAGAACCTCAACGTAATAAAATACAGAACTTTGGGTATTGTCCGATCCAAACCATCCGGTTGAACCAATCTAATCGTAACTCAGCAAATATCCGATTTGGATTAATATTCATTTATGTTGTTCGAGGAAGAACTCATAATGGAAAATTAGTAAACTTACTGATATATTTTGACTTCTTCATAAAGTATGTTTACTTGCGAAATTTTAACATATTTTTATTTTATTTTGGACACTTGCATTTTCCATCCTTTTGATCGCAATATCCATCACCCCTGTCACAACGCATGCCTTGGCACTCAAGGTCCGTGTCACAAATCCCTAGATGATTCACACCAGCTCTATTTGTATACATCGCTTGTAACTTAGGACACTTGCATTTTCCGTCCTTCTGATCACAATATCCATTACCCCTGTCACAACGCATGCCTTGGCACTCAAGGTCTGTGTCACAAATCCCTAGATGATTCACACCGGCTTTTGCAAGATCTTGTCCTACATAAGATCAATGATGTGTTAGTCCCAACATGCATGGATTGTCATCTGAACAAAATGATTGATAAGATTGATTTCTATCGTTGGCTTTCATATACTTTGCCCAAATCTCGTTTGAGAACGAGAGTGGAACACAAAATTAAACCTTTATTTATATTTTCTACACTTAAAAATACCATGACTAATACCTATTAATAAATACCATGACTAAGATTTTACCTATTGTTTCTCTAAGACCATCATTATCGGTAGAAACCCTTTTGGGTCTTTAAGGTAATTTTTAATTATTGTCTGAGTAAAAAGGTGAATAAGAAATTGTGTTTAAAGACTCATGTATTTGGTGTATGCATTGGAGAAACCAAGGTGTCGAAGAGAAAAAAAGAAAATGGAAGAAATGAAAAAGAAAACAAAACAAACCCATTCTCTCTTCCCAATTTTTCTAACCAATTCCAGGTTTCCACGTACAATTAAAAGACGTATACAAACGTCCTCAATTAAGAGACGTTTTTACTCATTCTCTCTCCTAACTCATTTTTAAAATATTAAGTTTTTACTAAAAACGCTTTTAAAGACGCCGATAATGATGCTCTTATGCCTGTTAAATTTCTCTTTCGTACGAAAAACTGTAGTTAACAGATAATGCTCAAGACGTGTTTTAAACATAGTTTTTTGATAGCCTAAATCTTGTTTCCCGCAAGTTTTAACCATATATTCATATATGATTTCATTTATTAAATTAAGATTTGAAAGATATGTATATACTTACCGAAGGCAACGACAACAAGAGAAACACATAAAATTAGCTTAAAGGTGATGTTCTTCATATTTCTAATATGTTTTTTTTTCGCTTCAATGGTGAAACTAAGCTATGCTTCATCTCTTTTTTATAGAGCATTTAACTAGTGGGTGTAGAAAGTGGAAACTAGAGCCAAAGAGCATTATCCTAATTACGTTACAGTTTTTTTTTACCTTAGCTAAATCTACACGTCTAAATAATTTATGGTTCATGTACTTATGATATGCCTATGAAAAAGATATAAGTATATTTCATGGTTCATGTACTTATTTAGGTGTAGGTGTAATTAATACTAGATTTGACTAATTAATTAAATATTATATATTTGACTAATGGATTGAGTCTAATTCTTCATTTTTGGAAAAGTTAAGGTGTCGTTAATACTAGATTTGACTAATGAATTAAAATGGTAATGGATATTTTAACAACAGATCAAATTATTTGCATTATAATACATTTTAAGATAGTTAAAATGATCAATCCATATACACCATAGTTTTCTTGTTCGTAGATTCCCATGTGTGTAAACCAATTCTTAGTCTGTAGATCACGCATACTCGTCTGGAGGTCAGTCAATATTTCAAGAAAAAATTCGAAGGATTATAGACTAGCTAGTCTTGCAAATCATTTACCCGATATTTCACTATGTTCTACCCTCATTACTATGATAGTGAAAATCTTTTGAAGTAGATTACTTATCTTTAAAATTCAAATATATTGATATATATATATCTTACAATCATTTACTAGATAACCCTGCCACATACATTACCTTATTTTTTAAAATTGAAACATTGTAGTGATTTTCAACAATTAATCTGTTCTGGTAATAAACAATTCTAACAAATGAAAAAGTGTAGGTTCATTAGATATACACATCTTTGAAAAATAATTTCTGATAATTTCACATATTTAATTAAAGTTTTAGTTGTATTTTTTTACTGCAACATTGAAATATGTGACTCGAAACAAAGAAACGCGTTGGAAATCTTTGTACTCATTTGAGTCATCAACCTCAACTTACAAGGCACAGTAACGGTATGAATGCGTTTCAGCCTTACATCATGAACAGTTTGGAAAACAAGAAAATGGATCAATGTGATTTGGGAGAAAGATTAAACCTTTCCCATAAACACGTTGGAGATAATCTTGGCCCAAAAAAGGAGAAAATATAAACTGATACTCGTCATTCTAGACGAATGCACAACTGGAAAATTTATGTCTAATTTATGCCAAATTTATGCTTAATTTATACATAATTTATGCTTAGTTATAAAGGTGTAATGAAATTATGCAACAAAAAAAATTAGAAAATAAATTTTAACTTAAGATTTGAATAAGCTATTAACAAGAAGTTTTGATATCTATTTGAAATCTGCATAAGAAAATACTCCAATCTAATTATCATTTGATGGGAGCTGAGAACTATATTCAACCAACACCCACTAGCGTTCTTGACCGTGAAGATATGAAATGAAATGGTAATAATTTAGGTGATGAGTTCACATTTTTTTTTCATATTTTAGGTGATGATTTCTTATTAAATTCTTCTTCAATTTTGTAGGTGATGAGATCGAGTTTGTTGACGAGGAAGAAAAAGAAGCATAATGTGATGGATTTTCTCAAATAACTTAGTAATTTGTGAGCACTAATAATTTGTTATGTTAAAAATACTTAATAGTTTGTGGGTACTAATGATTTATTATGTTAAAATTACTTGTAGTTTTGGTTTGTTACTTTATGTTAAAAGTACTTCGTATATTCAAAGATTCTTAATTCTTCTTCATCCTTTTTATAATAAAAACTCAAACATTTTCAATATATAAATTAAAAAAAAATATAGAATTATCAATTTTGTAGTAGCCAAAAGATCAAACAAATATTCAGAAAATTAAAAAAATTTGATCTATATTAGTAAAAGAAACAAAAGTCAACATATCAAATAAAAAGTCAACAGAATAATATGGGCAGCCTGTGAAAAGACCATCTGGATATGGTCCAATTTGGGTGTAGATATTTTTTGGTCCGATATCCATTACAACCAATCCAATTATGTCCGTTAAATTAAATGGTGGACGGAGGACGGGGTGGACGGCCCGATTGACAGTTCTAAATTAAATCTTTCCCATGTCTCCAAAGATTACAACACGTTGGAGATAATCTTGTCCAAAAAAGGAGAAAATATAAACTAATATTCGTTATTCTAGATGAATGCACACAACTGGAAAATTTATGCCTAATTTATGCCAAATTTATGTTCAATTTATACCTAATTTATGCTTAATAATAAAAGTGTAATGAAATTATGCAAAAAAAAAAATTAGAAAAGAATTTTTAACTTAAGATTTGAATAAGCTATTAACAAGAAGTTTTGATATATTTTTGTAATCTGCAAAAGAAAATACTCCGATCTAATTATCATTTGATGGATGCTGAGAACTACATTCAACCAACACCACTAGCGTTCTTGACCCTGAAAATATGGAATGAAGTTAAATCAACGGTGGTTAATAAAGAGTCTGGATATGTTTCTGATATCAATAGAGAACGGTTTACATTAGTTCTACGAACTGTTGGAAAGGCTTTGACATAAGCTTTTTCATTGGGATAAAATGTTGTCTTATGGATAGCAATTCCTCATAAAGGTTCGTTTTGTCGTCTCGATGAGATTATTCCTCTACAATTGCTCCAAGAGCTTATATGATAGTCATCAAGTTAGCAAAGAGTTTTCATCAAGATAGCAAAGAGTTTTTCCATGTCTCACAAGAAGAGTTTGAAACAAATGTCCAATATGTTACCAAACAATAAAGAGCAAAAGAACCACATGTACAGAAGATGAATATGATATATTGGTTGACAACAATATCCAAAGATATGTTACGAAACAATAAAGAGCAAAAGAACCACATGTACAGAAGATGTGAATATGGTAAATTGGTTGACGACAAAACTTGATATGATACAAGTATACCAACTGTGTTATAGAGATAAATTTATATGAAACAACATCGATAAAGTTGGTGAATGATGATCAAAACCTAGCAAATGGATTCAAAACAGGATGAAACATTACCAGTGACCACAATGAAAAGAAATTAACAGAGGCAACTATAGAAGAAAATGAAAGACGGTAACTTTAAGTGACGAGATAATTGGTGTTAGTGTGGAAACTATATGTGTATTTATAGTTGCAAATGGAATCTGTTAAGCATTGGGGTAATCAAATTATCAGTGAGGAGTGTTTGTAAGTTGTCTCCAACGATCGATCCTTCTTTTAAAATTAGACTGATTTTGCGTAAAGAGGTTAGTTGAAAAGAGCAATTGGGTCATTTCTAGTTCAGTCGCAATTGAAACCCAAACCCAGAGCACCTATACTAAAAAAAAGTCTAAACATTTGAAAGTCAATTAAAAATTCATATTCTTTCTTGCAACATCTTCGGTAAGAAGCCAAAATTCGCCATGGGAGAAGAAGAACTCACTGATTGCGCATCAATTACACTCGAAGAGTGGAATGGTTCTTCTTCTACTAAGCTTTTCAGAACAGCAACCATCACTGCCTCCCCTTCTCTCTCCATCCGAAGGTCTTCCCTTTCTTCCTCTATTTCAATCCAAATCTGGTTGCTTCGAGTGAAGCCTCTACAAATTTAAGATTTTTTCTCCTGCGGGTAATTCATCATAGGTCTGCTAATCGCTTCAACCATGTATGGAGACGAGTTCTTCAAGCATTTGTACCGGAGGCAAGTGATTTCTTTCTTTCTGTTTTCCCTCTAGCCTCGTTTTTAAGGTCACTGAGGCAAATGGGTTTTGCTTTGCTCAATGCAGGGTTTTCCTGGTAGTGTTACTCCGGATTATGTAGGGTTTCAATTATGGGACACGTTACAGGTATATGTGAGATAATATGCTTGTATGCCTTATGGCAACTGTCAAACTTGATTTGTCTTTGAATTTGGGATTTCAGTATGTTTTTTTTTCTTTCTTGCAGGGGCTATCAACTTATATAAAGATGATGCTTTCCACTCAGGTGAGATCAAGTTTTGGACTTTTGAGTTCTTTAATTTGTCTGCTGTAGCATTTCTGATTTTGAGTACTTGTCAGGCTCTTTTGAGTGCAATTGGGGTTGGTGAGAAATCCGCAACAGTTATAGGTGCGACATTTCAGGTGAGTTTTGTTGGTGCTGAAATATAACATATTTCTCCTACTTTGGAACTCATTGGCCCTCTCAAGCACTATGGATTATAGTGATTATATCTTGTTTGTAATATGCAGTGGTTTCTGAGAGATTTTTCTGGGATGCTTGGAGGCATATTGTTCACATTCTATCAGGTGTTTATATCGTAGATACTGCCAAATCATATACCTTAAATTTCTCTTACGTTTTCTTCTTCTTCAAATTTAGCCTGGTTTCGTTGTTTTTTTTATGTTGTGTGAGAACTTTGCTGTTTTATTACCAATAATTGATTCTCTTTTGTTTTCTGAGCATCAATATCTAATGCAATATGAGAACTATCTGATTTTTCTGTTCTTCAGGGTTCCAACCTGGATAGTAATGCAAAAATGTGGCGTCTAGTTGCTGACTTGATGAACGATATCGGTATGTTCTTTTGTTCTTTATTTTTCAATACATCAGTACAATAATAGTTAGTTGCCACATCCACTCTTGAAATAAATATACTGTATTTGGTTCTCAGAGACTTTGAATGACTAAAAAGCTTTTGTTGCGATTGTTGCAGGAATGCTAATGGACCTTCTTTCCCCTCTGTTTCCATCTGCTTTTATCATTGTGGTTTGCTTAGGGAGCCTATCAAGATCATTTAGTAAGTTTCACCACCTGCATCAAACATAGAACTTACGGCTTTCACTGTAGCTGACATATCGATCTTTAACATTTTTTTTCGATCTCCGTTAATTGAATTAGCTGGTGTTGCAAGTGGAGCAACCAGAGCAGCTCTAACTCAGCACTTTGCCCTCCAAGACAATGCAGCCGATATATCTGCAAAGGTATTCTTAACTTCTTTTCACTGTGAATGATTAAGAAACTTAAAAATGTGAAATTTTTTAGTAGTTTGATTTCTTGTCTGTCTATCTATTGAAAGGAAGGAAGCCAAGAGACTATGGCAACGATGATGGGCATGTCATTGGGAATGTTGCTAGCTCGGTTTACCTCTGGAAACCCTTTGGCTATTTGGTTTTCGTTTCTCTCTCTCACCGTGTTTCATATGTATGGTAAGTTACAGATGAAGGTTAAAGCCTAGTTCAAATCAGGATTTCTCTAACTTTTCTCATTAAACCTTTCTTAAATATCTAGCAAACTATAGAGCTGTCCGGTGTCTTGTATTGAATTCGTTAAACATGGAGAGGAGTTCGATTCTTCTAGCACATTTCATGCAAACTGGCCAAGGTAATTTCAAAAATGCATCATTGATTCTTAGAACGTTTTAATAGCTTCCCTTTGTTTTTATATTGGTTCCTCTTTATCATTGCATTATATATCAGTAACTTTCTTTAACTAAACATGTCGCCAGTTCTCTCTCCCGAACAGGTTTCTTCAATGGAGGGTGTGTTGCCCGTGTGGGCTACTTCATTGAGGTCAACTATTTCAAACCCATTGCATAAGAGAGTGCACTTAGGTGTGAAAGTTTCTTCTCTCCCTCGTCCAGATATGTAAGTTATATACTTGAATCACTACAAATCACGGTCTGTAAGAAACTGAGATTATCTCAGCTTTAAGGGAAATGATCTGTGTGAGGTTGACAAATTTATTTGCAGGATGCAGCTCCTAAATGGTGTTGGAGCTTCTTCTCATAAGAATGGTTTGATTGATTTTCTTTCCCTTGGACTTTTTCTGCTCTGTAATGATATTTGGAAACGTTTGGTTTTGGGGGTAAACTCGCTGTTCTTGTCTATTGCACACTCCCGCAGCTAAGTACTTATTGGCACATAGAAAGGGAAGTGTTAGTGTGATCTTGCACAAAGACTCAGCGGCTGCAGATGTGTTGAAATCATATATTCACGCGATTGTTATGGCAAACGTTATGGAAGAAACCACAGCTTTTTATCCACAAGGAGAAGCTTGGATGGATAAACACTATGACGAGTTTCTCAACAAGGTATATTAGATTAGATCATTACAACGTGAAATCAACTGTGTTAACTTTTGATGTTTCACTCTTTTTCTTGTTTTTTCGTTCTCTCCTCTTTATGAAGCTGAGATCAGGAGGTTGGAAAACAGAGCGTCTTCTTTCTCCTTCCATTACTTGGAGAGCAAACTGGTTATCTCACTCTTCGGGTGCCAAGATTGACTGAGCTTTATCGCTTTCGGGCAAAACATGTTAGTTCTTGGTTTCCATTAGTACCAATTTGGATCATATGCTTTTTGAAGGATTTCTATCTATAGATTTCATCAGTGTGAGCTCTCAAGTATGGTGATACCAACTCTCCTCAATTGTTACCAATAAAATCTTAATATTAAGTGCAATTTCTTAACCGAATCTTAATCATCGTTTTTCCTTTTTCGTTTGGTTTTATAATTAACAAAATAAAAAAAGATTTTTGGAAGATTGTTTAGATATCAAATCTCCTTTGACCAAAAGAAAGAAAAAGATATCAAATCTCCAAAAAAATAAATCAATCATTTTGGAAAATTTCCTAAAATATTCTTAATCGATTACTACAAAACTAACCGATTTTTGCATTAATCGATAATAATGGCAGCCTTTTATTTTCTAAACGCTCTGTGAAAATGGAATCGGAACCACTTCAAACGTATAAATACTAAACGATTCCTTTCATTTCATACACACAAAAATCACCACTCTTCTCTCTCAATATCGGTCACTGTGGCCGGATAATCCACCCGCCGGCGAATCAAATCCACGGTGAGTTCTTTCGTTTACATACCTGATTTAATTTGAGAAACTCATCGCCTTAGGATTCGATCGAGACCCATTTATTTATCCTCTTGTTGTGGTTGTTTGTTCATGTGTTTAGTCTCGTGATGCCTGGGTTCGATAGAATCAGCGAATTGCCGGAATTTTTGCTTACTCAAATACTATCATACCTTCCGACTAAAGATTCGGTGAAGACGAGCGTTTTAGCGACCAGATGGAAAAATCTGTGGCTAAATGTTCCCGTGCTTGACATAGACTGCTCTGATTTCCCTTATAAGAATAACCAAGTGTTCTTCAGCTTCATTGACAAATTTCTCGAGATTAACCAGTCACGCCTGCCAAAAGTCAAGATCAAGTGCATGACCGAGGAGATATTCGGGATCCAGGACCGGATCGGTGAAGCTATTAACCGGGGAACTCAACATCTAGATGTTGAAAGCAGTACCTTTTATGTAGATCCTGACACACTTCTCTATCCTTGTGTCGAGTACATGCCTCTGAATCTCTACACGAGCAAGACTTTGGTTTCCTTGAAGCTGTCTTATTCGGGTCTTGAGGATCCTGGTTTTGTCTCTATGCCTTGTCTCAAATCCATCACCTTTGAACAAGTTCAGCTTCGTGCTAATGAGAATCTGGAGAAAATCATCTTGGGATGTCCTGTACTTGAAGAGCTGACCTTGTTGAGAGATATAGATGGTAATTTTCAGGATCATGATGATCCGTTTTTGCGTGTGAAATCTTGGAGCCTGAAGAGGTTTATAGTTCCGCTCAGCAGGGACGGATGCGATTCGAGAGGGGACTTCACGCTTGAGATTGATGCTCCAGGGCTAGAGCATATGAGTCTCCGAGAAGACCATTTTGATAGAATTGTGGTAAAGAACCTGACTTCTTTGTTCATGGTTGATCTTGATGTCAAATTTCTTGTCAAGTTTGGCACGTTTTTTAGTCCCGGGGACTTATCAAAGAGGAAAGAAATCCGTGATTTTCTCACTGGGATATCGCGTGTAGGACATATGATCATCTCTACGAAAACAGTGAAGGTATATGTGTATACATACAACAATCTGTGGACTTTGTCTAATTTGAAACCTCTCACTTGTATATCCTTTTTGCTTTTCTTTTTGTTGCAGGCACTTACTCTTTACTCAAAAGGAGGAATGATTCCCAAATTCAATAACTTACACCGTTTAGAAGCTGAGTTTCCGGGTGACTTGTTACAGGTTTTGCCTGCCTTACTTGAGAGTTGCCCGAATCTGAAACACCTAACTTTGGTAAAACCTGTTGGAGATTTTGGCTTAAATAACATGCACTTCGGTTTTGTGTATCTGTATTATTGAAAAACTCACCCCTTTTTTTTTGTTTGTTGTGTGTGTTTTGCAGACGGTTGTTTATACAGAGGAGAATGAGGTATTCGAACTGAGAGATGTGCCTCGATGTTTCTTATCGACTCTTGAGTGTGTTGAGATTAAAAGAGTTCATGAATGGGAGGAAAAGGAGATGAAAGTAGCCACTTACTTTCTTGAAAACGCAGCAGTCCTCAAGAAACTCATTCTGAGTGTCACAGATTATCCTCGATATGTTTCGGACTCGGAAATCTACGAGGAGCTTTGTAAAGTCACAAAACGTTCTCCAAGCTGTCGAATTATCCTTGATTGGGAACTCTGTTGATATCATTTTTACGTTGTAACCTTTTTTTACGTTTTCCTCGGAGCAAATTCGGTTTGGTTTTGTCTGTTAAAATGATTTTTTATTTTATTTTTCATCGGTTGGGCTCTGTTCAATTTCAATTCGATTATTAGAGATGGAGCCAACCAAGGCATCAAGCTAGTAGTACAGTATACACAAATTTCAATTCAATTTTTCGGTTTAAATAGTTATGTGATTGGTTTATTCCGGTTCGGTTCGGTCTAAAAGACCATTCCTATGCAAGCACGTAGCTAAAAATGGCATAGATTTACGAGATGACTATACAAAGAGGAAACACAATCGACGTTTGTTTGTTTGTTTCTGCATTTTATTTCTCGTCTTCACTTGTTCCTTTCCAGTCAAAGGTTTGCGTGTATCTCTCTCACCTGCTCGAAGGAGAGTCCTCGCCATTCTCTTCGCTCACGAAAGGTTTTGCTTCTTCTCCTCCGCTTGTTTCTATACAGTTCGTCGTATTTACAGACATTTGCGAAAAGAAACTCTTAAGCTGTTTCCGCGAAATTCTCCAATGTGTGCCATTTTGTTTAGTTGCTTTATCTGTCTCCATTTTAGGTCTCTTTTCTTCGGGTTTGGTGTTCTATCTTCATCTTCTTCTGATCTTCTCTATTTGGTTTGAGAAATGCCGTTGGATAAAGTTAGGGTTTTGTGTTCTAATCTCCGTCTCACTAAATTTCGTGTCTTTGTAATTTACTGGATGATTTTCTGGGTCGTTTTGCTTACTCATGTTCTTCGTCCATGTTTCCTAAAGAACACTGCTTTAGATTTTAGTAGGTTTCTGGAATTGGGTGAGTCAATTTCAGGTTTAGGGTTCAGCGATTAGGGTCTACACACCACAAATAGAATTCGTTGTTCGTACCACTTTCATTTGCTTTCTTGTAGCTTTACTGTGTAAACGTTTTCTGGTTCTAGGTTGCAATGTATACCAGAGCAGAGCTAGATGATTTGGAGTATAGATACTACAGTGAAATGAAAGATGGCACTCGGAAGGTCAAAGTTTCAGAGTCTTTGTTCAGATGTCCCTTCTGCTACAGAGATCGAAAGCGTGACTACCGGTTTGAGGACTTGCGTCGTCATGCTTCTTCTGTTATCAGCGGTTGTTCCCATACCAAGGATGCGCGAGAAAAAGCCAGACATCTCGCACTTGAGAGATACATGAGGAAGTACCTCCGGCCTCGGGATCCTACTGCAACATCAGATGTCTCTTCTCGTCCTGAAGATGAGTTAACCGGGAATTGGAAAGGTAGTTCTGCAGCAGGGGAACTGAATGGCGTTGAGAAATCCAGTTCACCATGGATTTCTATAGCTGAACCAAAGTCTGTCTCAGGAAATGATCCTGGACCAAGTGGCAAAGAAAGACCAATGTTTTCTCCTAAACCCAACTCCTCCTTAAGCTACGAAGACGAAACATTCCTTCCCAAAAGACCCCGCCTCATTGCTGCTGCTAAAGAGGGAGAAGAACCTGTCCAACAGATTGGTCTCAGCCATGGTGCTAGGTTTGCTCAGAGGCATGATTCTTTGGGTGCTGGTAACGGGGATACGATGTTTGTGTATCCCTGGAAAGGGATCTTGGCGAACACCAGGAGAACCTATGATGAAAAACAAAAGAGGTATGTTGGTGAGAGTGGAAACAAGTTAAAGGAAGAATTGATCAGCAAAGGGTTTAATCCCCTCAAAGTTGACACAGTGTGGAACTACCGAGTTGGTAATACCGGTTTTGCTATTGTTTCCTTTGGTAAAGAGTGGGACGGCTTCAGAAATGCGACCATGTTTGACAAATATTTCGAAGTCAATCAGTGTGGGAAGAAAGACTATGATGCGACTGGGCCTCGTGATCGAGGTGATAAACTTTATGGTTGGATAGCAAAAGAGGCAGAGTTCCATTCGAGAATTTTTGGTGACAACCTTAGGAAGAAAGGGGACTTGAAGAGTGTTTCTGGTAAAGAGGCCGAAGACCAAAGAAAGACATTGACGCTTGTCTCAAACTTGGAAAACACACTGGAGACCAAAAGCACCAGCCTTCAACAAATGGAGAGCAAATACAATGAAACCAGTACAAAGCTTGAGAAAATGATGAGAGAGAAGGATGAAATGATCAACACACATAACGAAAGTAAGTGATCTTACGATGAAATTAATTTTTGCCTGATTGATGTGGTTGACTAGTATTTTGGGAACTTATTAGTTTACTTTTCAATGATTAGAAATGAATAGTATGCAGCAAGCGGCGCGTGAATATTTGGCCAGTATTCACGAAGAACATGAACTGGCCTCCCGGCGTCTGGAAGCTCAAAGGATAGAATATGAAGAGCGAGAGAAATATCTTGATAAGTGTCAAGCAGTGAATAAGTTAGAGCGAAGAAAGCTTCAATGGCAAAAACAGAAGGTAACAATCACATCCGTTGGACAAAATTACCCTGAAACTACCTTAATCTTAGCAGTAGTGATTCGTGAAATCTTTTAATTTCCTTGTCAGAACTTAATGGCTACTCAAGAGCAAAACAAAGTTGATGAAGACATGATGAGATTGGCAGAGCAGCAACAGGTACGCTTTTGCTTGTATGAATAATTATACACTTTAAAAGCTGTCAGATTATTTCTGGCCATAGTTATAAAGCTGGCTGTTGTTTTACAGAGGGAGAAAGATGAATTACGTAAGAAAGTCCGTGAACTGGAGAAAAAAGTCGATGATGAGCAGGCATTGGAGCTGGAAATAGAGCGTATGAGGGGTGACCTGCAGGTCATGGGACGCATGCAAGAAGGGGAAGATCCTGAGACGAAGGAAAAGTTAGAAAAAGAGATAGAAAAGACAAAGGAAAAACTGAAGGAGAAAGAAGAGGAGGCAGATTTCCAAGAGTCAGTCTCAAGCTCTTGTTGTAAGACATGGCTACACTAACGATGAGCTTCAGGATGCGCGCAAGGCTTTGATCAAAGTAAGCAATTCTCAGCCTTTCCATCTCTCTGCCCTTCTTCCTATGCGGGTTTGTTCTTTGGAATTCAGCTTCATGAACATTTGTTCGCTGATCTAGTGTGAGAGGCTGCACTATTGCAACATGTTTATGCCTGGTAGCTCGTGATAGGAACACTCAGAGGAGAGTGGAAGTGATTATGCCATTTTATGCTCTGATACCTGCTACTAACATGCTCAAGCTGTGTGCAGTCAATGCAAGGGTTGGCAGTTCGTGGTCCGATCGGTGTGAAGGGAATGGGAGAATTGGATATTAAACCATTCCAAAAAATAGCTAAAGAGAAATATCCACCTGAAGAAGCTGTTGAAAAAGCTGACAAGCTTTGGTCCTCGTGGGACGACCTCTTGAGAGACTCGGCTTGGCATCCGATTAAGGTCATCGTAAAAGACGGAAAAACCCCCAAGGTAACAATACATACACCTCTTCTTCTTTTTTTTCTCTCTCTCTCTCTCTCTCTTAGACAATGCTCTTAGATGATATATAATAGCTCCTGCAATCTAAAAACATGAGAGAAACCAATTTCTTTTTTTGTTTTTGCAGGAGGTACTAAATGAAGAAGATGAGAAGCTGCAAGAACTGAGGAAAGAGATGGGGGAAGAAGTGTTTGAAGCCGTTACACAAGCGCTTCTAGAAAGGAACGAGTATAATGGAAGTGGAAGGTACATAGTGCCCGAGCTTTGGAATTTTAAAGAAGGAAGAAAAGCGACTCTCAAGGAAGGAGTGGTTTATCTGCTCAACTTGTGGAAACAGAAGAAACCCAAGCCTAAGCGTAGATAACAAAATAACGGAAGAATCTCATTTCTAAAACTAAAACTTAATCGTCTCGAGTAGTTGATATTAATTGAGACTTGGTGAGATTTTATGATTATGACCACTAACAGTAGAGTTATTAAGGTGAGATCTTGGACACAGATATCAATTTATGTACTTGGTTTATGACTTTCTTCCCAGTCAGATACGAATTCCTCTCACTTATCTATACGGCTACATCAATATCACAGAACTACTTGTGGGAGTTTAATTGGCTGTTCGGTTATAAAAGAATACAGAAGAAGTAATCATATTGAACCGAAGTTGTGATTCGGTTTTGGACCGTTGATTACAAAAGAATTTTATGTGCATAATACTAAATCAAAGATCTTATATGATTTACAGTTTACTATAATATTTTCTTATTACATACATGCTTGTATATAACACAACATTTTACTTGTTACAATTATCCTCGTGAGGCTTTCTGGAGATCACTTCTTGTGTTGTGAAGACACAATTAGAAAATGCAGCGTTCACAAAGAGCTTTGAAAATCCTCATATTTACTCTTGGCGAGGTTATTTCCAGTCCGGTTATCGTGCTTTACCTTGACTCCTGCAGAGGTAGTGTCGTGAATTAGGTGAGTTTATTGCAAAATATTGATTAAGTAAATTAATAGAAAAAACATAACTCACTAAATGTATAACATCAAACCGTATAAAATCTAGGTACCAAATGCTTCATGATAAGCAGAGTTTCTACCTTTATGGTTCCTCTGTTCTCAAGCTCCATTAGAAAAGCTTTGGTCCCGTATTTGTCTCTTTTCCGTTCCTGGCTCTACAAGTTCCGTTCCCAAGAAATCAAGCCCTGAAAAAACTTGTATCACTGTATAAACCAAAGGAACGATAGGAAAGAACGGTTGGAGAATAGCAGAAGAAGCAAAGAAGTGAATTTACATGAACAGTGAGCTCACATCCTTATTTACGCTGATGCAGAATCCCAGTTTCCTTGTCAGCTGACAAAAAACTCTGTTCTCATGACCAATAGTTGTGTTACCACAACCTCACCTGAGCTTTTTAAATATAGGCTCTTCATACATTCTTTGATCACTCTCGAGATTGGAGTCTCTTGGACTTATATTTAGCATGGTGTACTGCAGACAGGAATACATTAGTTGGCTTAATCCCCTTGTCTAACATTTCTTGCATCAATTTTTCCGCGGTAAGTACAGATCCATTCCTATAACAACCAGCTATTAGTGCTGTGTAAGACACAAGATCAGGCTTTATCCCGTTTTCACTCATTAGATCAAAGATCCTTTTTCCCTCTTTAAGATATCCATCCCTACAACAACGAGCTATTAGTGTTGTGTAAGACACAAGATCAGGCTTTATCCCGCTTTCAATCATTAGATCAAAGATCCTTTTTGCCTCTTTACAATATCCATCCCGACAACAACGAGCTATTAGTGCTGTGTAAGGAGCAGCATCAGGCTCCACCCCACTTTCAATCATTTCACCAAAGATCCTTTCCGCGTCTTCAAGTTCTCCAGTCTTGCAATGCCGATCAATCAAAACCGTGTAGTAGTGAACGTCTCGTTTAATGCCAAGGGCTTTCATTTCCCTCTTCATATCCCACTTTGGATTGTGATGGAGCAAAACTGTGTATGTTACCACATCAGGAATGATTCTCCTCTGCTTCATCTCTTGAAAAAGAGCATAGGCTTCCTTGAGCTCGTCTTTCCGGCAATACGCGTTGATCATGGTTGTGTAAGTGTACACATCAGGGATTATCTTTTTACAAGATACTAGAACTTTGAATTTCTTCCTGGCTTTTCTCACCTTGTCAACTCGACACCAAGCGCCAATCAATTTCCCAAACATGCACTTGCCAGGTTCAACTCCAATTAGTTGGGACATTCTATCCAGTAAGTATTCAGCTTTGCCGATGTGATCTTTATCGTTGGCGGCGCAAAGACTAGTGAATAGTGTGAAAAACACATTCTTGGGCAGAGGAAAGTCCACTCTAATGAATCGTTCGAAGGCCTGATCAAGAAGACCAGCTTCGCAATAACCTTTTACCATACTTGCCTCATTTTCCAGAGATTTTTCATGTCCCAAACTCTCATAGAAAGCTTCCGCCTCGTCTGTTTTACCTGCAACAATCAGGCCTTGGATGACCATCTTGTGTGTAACGGAAGTAGGCTTTACACCCTGAGCTTCCATTGCTTTTAAAATTTCAAATGCCTCGTCTACATAACCATACCTAGCTAATCCACCGGCAAGTACGTTGTATGTAACAACATCAGGTGTTTTACCTCTTTCTTCCATTTCAATCATCAAATCATGAGCATCGTGAATCTTTCCATGTAGACAGCAACCACCTATCAAAGTCGTGTAGTTGACGACGTCAGGAGCTATACCTTGTTCACCAGTCATCTCTCGGAACAACTTGATAGCTTCTTCAACTTTGCCAAGCTTTACCAAAGCATCAAACGCGACATTGTAGCAAACCCTATCAAGAGAAACGTTCTTCTCTCTAAACTCTATAAACAGATGATAAGCTTTCGAGAACATGCCCATCTGACTAACGCACTGAAGGATTGAGCTTGCAATCACACAGTTTATTCTTCTTTTTCTCTGCACCATCTTATTGAAAAAGTCCAAAGCTTTAGGTATATTCATGTTCTTGCGATGTCCTTCAATTATCGCCGAGTGAACATACACATCCGGATCAATCCCACATTCCTCCATGTCAAGAAGAGCACTTTCAGCGTCTTCTATTTTCATCTCATTACATAACCCCCGGACCACTTTGCGATACGCTATTGCGAGATCTCTAATATCCACAAGAATATTTGCAACCCTCAGTGGTTGGAGTAGAATATAAGCTATACCCGCCATCTGATTTAAACAAAGCCCTTCAATGAAATTCATATAAAACACGCGAGGATTCCTCGTCTCTGAGCTTAACAACTTGTTAAGAAACTTCTCTACTCCTCTTATATCCTCGTTTCTATGCAATGCTTGAACAACAACAACATTAGTATGTGCATCCGCATCCAAACCCAGCCTCTCCATCTTCCAGAAAAGATGGATAGCTTCGTCAAACATTTCAAGGTTAGCATAGGCTTTAACCAAGGCACTAGAGACCCTACTTAGTAACAGAAACGACACTTTCTCATCCTCTTCTGCTTCTCCAATGGCATTTAACAAATCCATGACACTGAAACCACGACCCTCGTCTCCTTTTCTAACGAGCTTCATAAAAAACGGACCCAATTTCTCATCCAAACTCCAACTACAAACAATTCTGATAACAGTTGCATAAGCTTGGACACTAGGCAAAGCCCCATTTCCTTCAATTCGTTTCAGAAACGCCAAAGCAAGATAAGGATCATCCCTCATACTAGTCAAAACTCGCAAAACTCCAACTTCGTTCAATTCCAATGCTTTACCATCAAAGTTACCTTCTTTCTCTTGCTCCGAGTGTGAGATTTTCGGGTTCGTCCAGGCAAGTGCAGGAACCGCGTAGAATCGCGAATTGGGTGCTCTTCGAATTAATCCTCTCAAATGTGAGAGTAATGGAACCGTAAACACCCGCATGAAATACTTCCCGCCGATCCTGTGGCGGCTGGTGAAACAACCAGAAGAGACTAGTTGAGAAGAGATTTTCCGACAAAGAGAATCCGACGACGAGTAGCTTCAAAGATTTTCACACCATGTCGGAGGGTTTTACAGTAGGGGGCACATAAATCGAACCGAACCGAACCATAAGGTATCATTATTTAATTTTTAAACCAACGAACTAAAAAAAAACACCCGAAACGAAATAATCGAATCGAATTCATTATACCGAATGTAACCGAATCAATCCGATTTCAAACCGAAGTGAAAAGGTTTGGACTGATACGGCCTACCCAACTAATTTAGTCTGACCCATAAAATGTTTGGGCCAGTAAGCCTCGTTATGACTTTTATTACCGACAGAGTCGTCGCTTCCTGTCTAAACCCTTCAGAATCGAGTGTCGTCTATCCAACGCCGGTGTGCCGTCGCCGATATGCTTCGTCGTACCTTTTACAAGCGCGCACGGTCAGTTTTGCTATCTCTATTCTCTCTTCTCCAGTACTTTTGTCTGATATAGCTGCTTCAATTTTGTTTTGCTTGCTCGTAATTATCTATATATCGATTTGGGGGAAATGATTAACTTTTGATTCTTCTTCTTGACACCTCTTTCGATTATTTTCATGGCAGTGATGATCTAGCTTTCTGTCACCGCTTGTTGCACATTCCGTATAACGAACCAGAGCCTGATTCAAAGGTAATTTCCGAAATCATTAGTATAGTTTCAAAGAAAGAAGCACCGGTTACTGAAACATCCCAGCAACATTGGCGCAAGAATTGGCAAGATCTGAGGAAGAATAGGCTAACGGCTAGTAATTTCTCACATGCTATTGGGTTTTGGCCTGAGGGTAGACGAGAGCTTTGGTTAGAGAAAATCGGGGTAGCTAAGCAGTTCTCTGGAAACCAAGCCACGTTTTGGGACGCTAGCAATGAAGTTGAAGCACTCAAGAGATACAAGGAGTTAACGGGGAACGAGATCCTCATGCCTGAGTTCGTGGTGTACAAGAACGGTGAAGACCCTGAAGAAAACTGGTTAGGAGCTTCTCCTGATGGATTGATCAATGTGGTTAAAGAAGACGGAGTAACTTCAAGTGGCGTGTTAGAAGTGAAATGCCCATTTTACAGGGATAACAAAGCGGAAGTGTATCCGTGGAAGAAGGTTCACTGGCAATGTGTCCCACAGCTTCAGGGTTTGATGGAGATTGTGGATAGAGATTGGTTGGATCTGTATAGCTGGACTCGCAATGGAAGCAGCCTCTTCAGAGTTTGGCGAGATACCGAGTTTTGGGAGGATATGAAACCGGCACTGGTTGATTTTTGGCACAAGCATGTTTTGCCTGCAAGAGAGGTATACAATAATTTCGATATAAAAGACCCTCAAATGAAGCTGAGAGAGTTCATGCCTAAGAAGTTGCATGAAGATTGTAAGAAGATCATGCGTGGAGCTGAGAGAATCAGCCGAGACTCCAACCGTTTGTTCTATGAAATCCAAGGGAAGCTTGTAGATTGATTTCGTATCTTGCTTAGTTCAGTTTTGTAAACATTAAATCAATCTCTTTTGATGAGCCAAATACATATTATTACATTGTGTATTCTATGTTTTTTTGTTGTGTTACATCAGAATATGGGTTCTTTTTGGTTAATGCTTCTCAAAGTTTTTTGTCTATTACACTTGTCTAAGACCAGCTCTTGTAACTTTTACCGAGTAACTTTTTGGTATTCCATTTTGTGAAACAAAGAGGACCACACTTACTTGATTGCCGGTTACTAAATATGTTGACTTTTGATGGGTCAAAACTATGAGTTGACTTTTATTTAGAAATCTTTTGTCTGGCTGTGATTCTTCTTCACAGTTAAACGACAGCGTTTCAACTCCTTCGATCAATTGTCTTACTTGCCACGTGTGATATCTTCTCTATCAAGTACCAACCGCTCGTCGTGGCAGACTGAGCAAGAAGCTCAGCGATGCTGTTAGCGGCGACGGCGACGGGACGGCCGCCGAATTTTAAGGTGGAAAGTAAAATGAAAAGGTCACTCACGGTGACGGCGGAGAAATTTCCGACGTTTCTACCGAGCGATGTTGAGAGAATCAAAGACACGTTTGCTCTAAAGCTCGCCGCCAGAATCGAGAGGCTTCCCGTACAAGTAATTTCCATCCTCCATGTTTATTTCAATTTTTATTTGGTCGAAAGTATGTTCCAAAGAATTTGAGCTTCTCAACTAGCTGCAACTGGGTCATGACACACATTTGACTGATTGACTTTAATGTCTTAAATTCAAGTTTTTGATCTTACTTTCAAGTCAAGTGAGGGTAAACATTTAAAGCAGTGTAAGAATCAAGAACCTCTAGTCTGTAGGTCTTTTGCATGTGATGTGCAAATCATCTGTTACTTTCAAGTGAGCATATAAACATTTCAAGCAATCTAAGAATCTCCAACCTGTAGAAGCATGATATCTTTTAACATTGTCATGTACTGTGGCAATGTGTAGGTAAGCTTCGCGGAAGATAGAATCATGAGCAGTTGTGTGACGCCGCTTATGCGGAATGAGACAAGTCCTGTAGTGCTCCTGCACGGATTTGATAGGTACTAATCAAAATGCTGTAATATGTCTTGAGTTAGTATCTTGAGTTTAAAACACTTGTAAACAGTTCTTGTTTAGAGTGGAGATACACTTATCCATTGCTCGAAGAAGCCGGTTTAGAAACTTGGGCATTTGATATCCTTGGTTGGGGTTTTTCTGATTTAGGTGTTCCCTTCTGGTCTTCTCTTATCTTTTCCTTCCTTTCCCCTTTTATTTGTTTCTCCAAACTTGCCAACAGTTATCTTACTTACGGGCTTATTTGTTTCTTGCTCCTCTGTTTTCAAAAGGGAAACTTCCACCGTGTGATGTAGCGTCTAAAAGAGAGCATTTTTACAAGGTTTGTAGTCATTTTCTTTACTTGTGTGGCTTTCTCTGTTTTCCAAGTGTGAATTGATTTGTCCATCCTTGTATGATCCGTAGTTTTGGAAGTCTCATATTAAAAGGCCTGTGGTTTTGGTTGGGCCGAGCCTCGGTGCTGCTGTTGCAGTAGACATTGCGGTCAATCATCCAGAAGCGGTACTTATATAAACATTAAGGAGCTTCATTATTTCCCAACAAGAGGTTTACTTGCAAACTTGTTCAAGATAATTTGACCAATATGATGAATTATTCAGGTTGAGTCCTTGGTTTTAATGGACGCAAGCGTTTACGCAGAAGGTACAGGAAACTTGGCAACTTTACCCAAAGCAGCAGCTTATGCTGGGGTAAGTTCACATCACCTTCTATACATTAAAGTCCCCTGAATGTACTGGAAGATGAAACTCTTCACAATCCTTTTTAACTTTACGGGTTTTTGGGTATATGATTTGGGAACTTTAGGTATATCTACTGAAGAGTATTCCATTGCGGTTATATGCAAACTTCCTTTCTTTCAATGGTATCTCATTGGAAACTAGCTGGGACTGGACAAAGGTAAAGAAGCTATTCTTTGGAGTCCTTATCGATAAACTTAGCTCTCAATCTGATTTTCCGCTTACAAGCTCAATCTAGATTGGTCGCTTGCATTGTCTATATCCTTGGTGGGAAGATGCAGCTGTTAGTTTTATGACAAGTGGAGGATACAACGTTACTTCTCTTATAAAAAAGGTAGCTTTTTAATCATTTCCAGCTCATCTTGAAGAGAAAAGAATCAAGAAGAGAAACTTTGCATTCTTGTTCAATGCTTGCTTTTATTTCTTTTGTTTCTGTTCATGTTCTGTTGCAGGCTAATCAAAAGATTCTGTCTGCAGGTTTCACAGAAGACACTGATACTATGGGGAGAGGATGACCAAATCATTAGCAACAAGCTAGCTTGGGTTAGCGTTTTCGATCTGTCTTCACTAAGCATATTCAAATGGTCTCTCTAGACATAATCCATTTCTCTTCAATGCAGAGACTGCACGGAGAGTTATCGAAGGCACGTGTGGAACAAATATCAGACTGTGGACATCTTCCTCACGTCGAAAAACCAGCTGCTGTTGCTAAACTGATCACAGAGTTTGTTAGAGAGACTTGTCGGCGTAAAGAGATTCAAAGTATATCCTAGAGAGCCTTGGGCCATTATTGAAGGTGTGTTTCTTACCAAAATATTCTCTCGAGTAGTAGTACTAGTAGTTGGTACTTCACTTCATTCATTGTTGGTTGGTCTTTTTGTTGAATAAATAATACAAATTCCTCACACCAAACAAAAGTTCTCCATTTTTTAGTCTATGATTGATCATGAGATATTATTTTTGTATATAAAATAAATGGTATTTGTTTTATGGTTGTTGTTGACTAGTCTTCGTCATAAACTCACCACTTCCCTCAGGTCTCATTTGTTTCCAATCTCATCACTGAGATTTATGTTCTGTTTATTTTTTTCTTTACTCAAGAATTCCAGTGAGAGCAACCTTTACATAGATGAAAGAACAGAGAGAAAAAAAAAACCAAACAAACACCTAAGCTTATTTTTCCCAACCAAAGAGGAATCACATCAAAGACGAACCAACCTTAGATCAGAACACCATAGAAACGATAGTGATGAGAAACAGAGTGTGAAAACAGAGGAAATGGCCAAACTAAAAGCACTATTGCTTGGGTTAAAGCCTCCGGTTGGACCAAACACAGGAGGAGTTCCCGGAAATGAAGAATTTCCGTTTGTTGGAGATCCAGGAAATGGAGTGGTTCCGTTTGTTGGAGATCCCGGAAATGGAGTGGTTCCGTTTGTTGGAGATCCCGGAAATGGAGTAGTTCCGTTTGTCGGAGATCCCGGAAATGGAGTGGTTCCGTTTGTTGGAGTTGCTCCCGGTGGTGTTGTTGATGGAGGAGACGCTGCAGAGCTGTTATAAAGTACGAAAAAAGAAAAAGCTTACTTTTTTAAAGTCTCAATTTTGTAAATGAGACAGCTTTAGCTTAATGGAAGTGATCTTTTACCTAGGGCTTGAAGGAAATATGCAACCTGTTACCAAATCTGCACAAAACAACATTCATCAAGACAACGACTTTTTTCATCAAAGCTATATAGACGTTTAGAGGGTAGTTGACTTTACTGGAAGGTGGGTTTTGATTGGTAGTGGCAGTGCCGGAGAAATTGCAGCTTCCAGGGACTTGAGCTGCTTTCTGGAAGTAGCTGTTAACAGCCCAATCACAGTGGCTTTTGATGGTGTTTGGTTGATAACAATGACCCTTTTCACGGATTGGATTACAATCTGCTAAGGTTCCACATGCGTAGTCTATTGATGTTTGAAGCTCTTTTTCTCCTATCCCATCTTTGCAGAGACAGTAAATTGCACCTACAGACAGAGACAGAGACAGAGCAAGAAATCTCAAATCCTGGTGTGGACCCTTTTTAACGACCAGAAAAGAAGTAATACGTTAATAACCATTTTCAGGGCATCATGATTGGTTTTGATAGTATCCAGATGGAAAAGGTCATTCCCTTACATAAAGCTTGATTTAGAGAAATAGGAAAATAGGAAGATAATCAAAAAAGGGGAGAAGAAATTAAGATTACTTGAACATGTAGTCGAGGCCAAGAGAAGCAAGAGAGCGAGAAGCACTCTCATGATGATTAGGCTTAAGATCGCTCTTTAGGGGAAACACAAAATAGACTTTGCCCTTGGACAAAGAAACCAGGCACACACCAATACCAAGATGATGACTTTAGAGAGAGAGAGGATGAAGAGATATTAAGAGTTTTTAAGGAAATGAAGGCGATTTAAATATTGTTTTTTGTTAAATAAAAACCTTTGTAAGTCAGTCTTTGGGTTCCAAAAGTTCTATCTGTACGATATTTGGTTTTTTATTGTAGTGACTAAATCGATTGAACAAACATTTTAAGGGAATAAAAGGGAAAAAGAAAAGTAGTTTTGTTTGGTAAGTTGTTTGTATAACTTACAATAGAAAAAGAAAAAGAAATTGACAAACTAGCATTACGTATGGAGATAACATTTATATATTTCTGTTTTTGTATTATCATTTTTTGGGCATGAGCCACATGACTCATCTTCTAACATCTTCATGAATAAAATCAAAACAATTTCTAGATATACGTACTGATGAGTCACATTTTATATATTGAATATGTTACATCTTGATGAAACGTTTCTAAATCTCTTAATAATATCATACTACTGTTTTAAGAAAAACGGGTAGTGATAATCACAATTCACAAGAGTGTTGGGTTTGATTTTGAACTTAGTTTAACACTCGTTTTGACTACGTGTGGGGAACGAAACTTTTAGTTTAAAGGTATAGAAAACCAACACGCACACTAAAAATCGATTGCCAACTGTCATGTTGGCATGTCGGTTCTATTCAAGATTACTAATAGATTTTTTGTGGACGATAATTTTTACGAAATTTTAAAATTGAACATCATAAGACGAAAAAAAAACTCAAAAGTGAACATTTATCTGCGAGCTGAAATAGCCACCTTTGTTGAATGACTAACAACGAATATTTGTACAAAAAAAAAGAAGACTAACAACGAATACTATGCATGCCATTAAAAAAAAAATTATATATATATATATATATATATATATATATATATATCACGTAGCTATTTCTCAACCAGCTACTTACCTGGTCTTTAACGAACGAAAAGAAAAAACTACCGAACTGGTATCAGTCCAATGCATGCATAACAATTACCAAAAAAAAAAAATATTACAAAAGTTTGTTAATAAGAAGATATTTTGGGACTTGGTAATTTATGTCAAAACTATACAAACCTATTTTATTAATAGATTCACTATACTTCTTATATAATGTGGTTGCATATGGTGTCTATAAAAACATACAGATCGTTAATTTGCTAGTCTGATGTAATCAATATGCTTAGTAAACAATCGAACTAGATAAAAATAAGAACTATATATAATGTTGTGTCAGTTTAATCAATTGGGGATGTAGCTCAAATGGTAGAGCGCTCGCTTTGCATGCGAGAGGCACGGGGTTCGATCCCCTGCATCTCCATATATTTTTTCACTTTTTCTGATTTTCTAGTTCTTACAATCCAATCATTAAAAAAGTACCGTCGTATCTTTCTCTTAAAAGAGAAAAGCAAACATCCAAATGTCAAACGGATTTTTGTCCGTTGTCTTCTTTATGTTAAAGAAACAAGACAAATAGATTACATAACTGAAAAGAGATGTCTTTGTAACTTCATTTTCTCACTAACAGTATTACAAACACGATACTGTTTGACTCGATGTATAATAATCATATCTTTGCATAAAAGATACATCAATTTAGCTCCAAAATTTCTGTGAAGAACAAAAAGGATGAAATTTGACTCGAGTTCAGAAAATGAAAACCAAAATGTAAGATGTTTTGTATGTCACCCACAAATCTCAAGCGTTATTACCTCCAAACTCTCTGTTCAAGTAATCCACAAACCGTCTCTTTGCGCTGTCTGCGTCAGTTGGTAACTGTGGCCCGCTCAGACTCGATTGACCCATCAATTTAACAAACGTTCTTCGAAGCCTCCTTAGCTCCGGTAGTCCAATCGGTCTGCAGATTTCGATTGGAGGTAGCTCTTGGCCAACAGTGACTCTGCTTATAGCCCCACCAAGTGCTTGCTGTTCCACGATCGCATTGATGACTTCTTGCGTCGCTCTGTCCAACTCGTAAAGAGAGTTCGCTTCTGAGAATCTAGCGGACTGAGTCGCGATACTCGGTTGGAGAATCCTCACATCTTGGGTTTTGGAATCAACAGTCTTGGTCAGATAAGTCACTGCCTCTGAGATCACAGGAGAGGATTTGTCTATTGCTTCTCGAGAAGGGTATAGCTCAAAGAGAGGTGAATCCCATCGGTTTCTTCTCTCAGGTTTCTCGAATCTTCTCACAAGATCTTCGAATATACCATCGTCATACGACGCTTCGCCTCTATCACTGCGCTCCTTGTTCCATTGCCTGCAATGCGTTTCATCCACGTCACAGTAAACTACACAATACCTAATCCCAGCGGCACGAGCGATACACCACAGCTCGTATCTGTAACCTTTGATGCTGTTCAAGGAATCTACAATAACAATGTCACCTCTCGAGACTGATCTATCAACATCTGACCTGAGCTTTCCTCTTAGGTTCTTCTCTGCAGGCATGTTGGCATAGTTTTGGTTACGGTCTAGATGGAAAGAAGCCTCATCGATGATTCTGACACTCTGTTTTGTCTCAGATTCTTTCAATGTTTCGGCTAAGGTTACAGAAGCTATTGATTTGCCACTGCAAGGTTGCCCACAAATCACAACTAGCGCCATTTTTGTTTTATCGCGGCACAGAACTTCTTGATGAACTAAACACAGAGCCTACAAAATTGAATCAATACATGACTTTAGATTCGAGCTTTAGGTTAATAACACACATCTAATAAAAACATCGACACATAACAAAAGGACAGACAAAGACCCGAATTCAATAAAAAAACTAAAATTTCCAGAAATGCTAGTAAGTTAGTAACCACCTAGTAGCTAAAAAATATCATATCGGTTTAAAGCATCCACCTTTCAGTAGCTACTCCACAAGTAAAATCAGAGATCAATGGATCACGAAAAATCAAGCAAACCCAAGCATTATCAGAGCGAAAAATTTACCCAAGAAAATAGGAGTTACTCAGATCACGAGCAGATTCAGCGACGGTTAATATCTGGATGCTACGAAGAGCTATATAAATCCGGAACACAAAGAGAGGCAGAATAAGGAATCTACTCGGCGAAAGTGCGATACCGGAAGCTTAAAATCGGGAGCTTGAAAATGGTCGCGTGAGAGAATCTAATCTGGGAATTTAGGGCTTATGATAATTAGATTATAAACCGGTCCAATTCGCTTGGTTCGGTTTGTCTAAATAAGTATCAGTTTATGTCGACGAAAATTATTATGTTTCGGTTTAGAAGATAGATACGAGGATATGCCAAAGCAAGTTGCTAGGCACGTGCTGGAAAACGGCGAGGATAATTTTGTCATTTCGAGTGCTTCAAAAAATTAATAAGGTACAGCTCATTCGATGTTGTCTCGGTATCCGAATTTAATCCGGGTTTCAAAGTCGGGTCTTCCCCTAATCGAAAAGCACGAATTTTCAACCCTAGCCCCTTTCCGAATTCCCCCAAATTATTTTTTTCCTACAAAATTTTCTTCGAATTAGTTGCAGATCCCTTCCTTCTTCCAGATCGATCTTCAAATCTATTGTAATATTCTTTTTCCTCTTGATTTCATCAATCAATTGATATACGTATTGATATCATCCATTCGTTGTTGTCAATTCTAGGGTTTGAGTCATCGAATTTCTAGATCCAGATCTTTAAACTACAGATCTGATCAATCTCTTGTTTAGATGTTGAATTCTTTCGATGTTATTATCGGATTCGTCTTAATTTCTAGTTTTCCCCAATTTTTTATCCGAGTTGGGAACTCGTTGACTTTGATGTTTCAGGGTTTGTCAGATCTGTCAATTAATCGAGGGCTTTTGTCTATTACCCCGAGAAGTAATCGATTGTTTGATTTTTGATCCGTGATTTGGTGATTTCAGCCGCGAATTGTATTCTAGGGTTAGGGCTTCAAATTTGGGGATTTTTTTAATTTACTCGTATAAAATTGGGGTTAATATTTTTTCTCTATACTTTAGTTTCCTTAAATTAACAGGGGTCTTAGAGCTCTCACCTTTATAGACTTAATAGTTGTTTGTCACTTGTTAGTGTTTATCTGTGGATGTTCATTAAAAAGCAGTTGACATAGATAACATAACCTTCACGCCAAGTAATTAAATGGCTTGTGGTTTTCATTTGACAGGTTAATATGGGTTTTAAGCGCACTTTTGACGCTGAGGATGTGCGAGAGCACAACGTGAAGCATGCAAGACAGATTAGTTTTTGCAATAAGCTGGCCAAACTAGATGAAGGAGTTCCGTATCGTGAATCATTAGAGAATTCAGGTGTTGTCATAGGTAATAATAATATGCATCTTGCAGAGGGGTTAACATGATAAACTCGAGCATCTTTCTTAATTGCTGTTTGTCTTGCTTATCACTAACAGGAGAGGATCCAAGTGACCTCTACGGGTTCAAATGTGAGTATTATGTTGAGAAGGGGTTTGAGAGCAATGCACCTTTCTCTTGGACCACAACCGGTTTTGAGGAGGATTCTCTGTCTGGTGCGACGACTCAGTCTACCCTTTCTCATGGATCTCCCGAGTCAGATTTCCCCTGGAGACCAATTTTCCCAGCAGATGATGATGATTGGTGTCAGATGTCTCCTAGAAAACCAGTTCCAATCGGGTCAGAGTACCAGGCTGATATTCCTGAATGTGTCAAGGAAGAAGTCAGGGGCCAGTCGAGTGATGAAGAACAAGTGATGGGGAAGTGCATAATTCCAATGCCTGACTGTGAAACAGAGGTCTGCAAAATCGGTAAAGGAAGAAAGGAATGCATTTGCCTGGATAAAGGGTCCATCAGATGTGTGCAGCAGCATATCATGGAAAACAGAGAGGACTTGTTTGAAACTGTTGGACATGAAAGATGTCTGAACATAGGTCTCGGTGAAAGGGGAGGAAGTTGCTGTAAACTAGTGAAGACGAGGAGATCTATTTCACGAGATTGTTTACTCCAATCCGGTTTCACTGGACCGGGATTTCTGGAAACACCTGAAGTCTGCGTTTCCTTCACGAACCATGAAGGAAATTGTGAGCTATTATTTCAATGTCTTCATCCTGCGGAGACGAGCTGTCCAGAATCGATCTAAAAGCCTGGACGTTGATAGTGATGATGACGAGTGGCAAGTGGAGTATGACAACACCTTTGGTGGTGCGGAAACTCCAGATGAGAAAACTGGGAAAAGCCTATCAAGGGACGAAGAAGAAGAAGAGGTGAATGTGGAAGAAGATTCGTACATGTCATTTGAGTTTCAGTCCAATGTAAGCTACTCTCGATGTCCAGTTAAAAGCAGAGAAGAATCCAACATTGGGAATTACTGGCGCCACTGCAATGATCTTGTGGATCATTCGTATTCGTTTGATCCTTGTGATTCGATTCTGCCAGATCATTTTTGGAATAAGAACATTGATCTGCTTCCAACTTCAAACATCATCGACGAGATCTTTGGCCAAGACCCATACGTCAATAAATTTCGAATGTAAAAAGTTAGAAAACAAATTTGAAAATAAATTAGATTGTTGTTTTTCTTTTATATTGTAGTTTATTTATTACCTTTGTAAATTAGATTTTCTTGTAAGAAGAAGAAAAAAATCTTCAAAACTGTTTAATAAACTAACTTTTTTCATCTGTAATCAATTTCTTTAGTTTCTTGTACCTTAAACTATCCTTAAAGATCTTGAAAACAGAGTGTCTGGTAGTTACAGAACAGAGACTCTTAACTGTGTAGAAAGAAACAGAGAACGTGACGTGGTGGCTGATTACTTCTCCTTCTCCGACGCGTCTCCCTTCATCCCTAGATCCTTTCAACGGTAAACAAACAGAGAGAGAATCTAACTAAACATTCTTTTGATCCATTCTTGAAACTCACATCTTTTGTCACAGGTTTCTATTTTTGGATAACCATTTTCCTTTTTCTTTCTCTGGATTTTTTTTCTTAATCCGAATCTTTTCTCTCTCTCTCGTCTTCTCCAGAGATTTCTCACAGGTAAACCGTTGGCTTAAACCGCGTCCTAATCAAAACTTTATCAAAATATTTTATCATTTTCTGCAAATCACCAATGCCATTTTCTTGAAAACATTGATCAGTAGTCTTCTCACATTGTCAATAGATGTTTGGATTTTTCAAATCTCCGGGGAACAACAAGCTTCCCAACGAATCATCAAACAACAAAGGAGGAACAATCAATGCAGGAAGAAGAACTTCTTCAGAACCAATCCTGATAACACCTGATTTCGACGATGAAGACAAATATAAAAACGGTTTCCGCGATTCCGGTGGTCTGCAGAGCCAAACGACAGAAGAGTTAGAGAACTATGCGGTTTATAAAGCCGAAGAAACAACCAAAGGTGTGAACAATTGTCTTAAGATCGCTGAAGATATCAAATCGGATGCTACAAGAACGCTCGAAATGTTGCACACGCAAGGTGAACAGATCAACAGGACTCATGTTATGGCTGTTGAAATGGACAAAGATCTCAGTCGGGTAAACTTTTCTTTCTCTTTTCAATCTAGAAAGGAATGATCTGTTCTTTATTTATGGTTAAAGTGTTTTTATTGAGATCAGGGAGAGAAGCTTTTGAACAACTTAGGAGGAATGTTCTCTAAGCCATGGAAACCGAAGAAGAGTAAAGAGATCGCAGGACCAATGATCACACCAGGTTTTGACCCTTTTGCTTGAAACCTTTAAGAGACTAGATTCTAAAATTGTGTATGTTGTTTTCAGTTTGTAAGATTAGAGACCTCGTTAACTAACTCATGTCATTTCTATCTTTGTTGTTTAAACGCTACCGAATCTCATTCTTGATTGAATTAAAAGAATCATGTTTTATGGTGATCATGTTTTTTGTGGAATGTTTTAGATAAAGCATCGAAGAAGAGCGGAAATCACAAGGAAGAGCGAGAGAAACTCGGTTTGGGAGGGAAAGGAAGATCGAGCAGCCAACCGCCACCGTTGAACCAACCAACAAATGCGTTGCAGAAAGTTGAGGTTTGTGTCTAATTTTGCAGAAATTTGTGAATCTTAATTGCTTAATTTATGAAAAGTATTTACGATGGTTTATTTGCAGCAAGAGAAGGCAAAGCAAGACGATGGACTTTCAGATTTAAGTGACATTTTGGGTGATCTTAAGAGCATGGCCGTTGATATGGGATCTGAGCTCGAGAAGTCAGATACACACAAATGCACACGTATTTTCATACATTTTTATACGGTATGTTTATGAAATACTTATATTATTATTATTATTTGCGGGAAATTTGCAGGCAAAACAAGGCTCTTGATCATCTCGGCGACGATGTTGATGAGCTCAACTCTCGTGTTAAAGGAGCTAATCAACGCGCACGTCACTTGCTTTCCAAATAAACACCTTTCAAAAACAAATTACTAAAATCCTATTCGTATTTTTTTCTCTTTACGTTCGTACAGTTCAAATTTTCTTCGTTGTTCATTCTTTGCTGTAAAAATTGTCAATATTAACTCATTTCATTCAATTTCCTAGCTAAAGCAATCTTTTTTGAATTTTCAAACAGTTTAACAAGTTACAAGAGTATTTAGACTTAGGGGGGGTTATTGGATCTTGGAATTTAATTGAATCTAAGAGAATTCAATTTAAGACATAGTAGGAGAATCTCACGTGTTTTAAAGGCTTTGATAGAATTTGTTTTGTTTTCATTTTCATGTTTAGAATTGAAAAGAATGTAAAAGCATCCACCTTATTGATCTCGCGGGAAAACAAAAATTTTAACCGACATAGTCTAACAAACCAGGCCAAATCAAATCATCTATGAATTGCCAAACCAAATCTCATTCTGGCTAAAATGATGTTGCGCAGTTACGGATTACCTTTCTTTATTGGGTCAAACATAAGGTTACCTTTTCATCCGAAAAATCGAAGTCGTCAAAATAAAATGATTTGTAATTCTGAATCCATACTAAATTCGGTTTCATTTTGATTACAACCTTCCTTAAAAAGATAAAACTTTAAGAAAAACCGAACATAAACCTGGATCGGACATACTGTGCAATTCAGATATAGAAGCTTCAATAAATTTTTTATACTCATACAGAACATATGTATGTACACCAAAAGCCCTTTAAACTGTGACATCGTAGAGTGGTGTAAGAAGAAATACAAATCAGTATTATTAGTGTACAAAAACTCATAATTTCTTCCCAACTTTAGAAGCCTGGTTCTTAACGTGGGAAAAAAAGATACTATACAAATCGTGCCCCTAAATAGATTCAGCTAATAATATTATGTCTCCTCGTTCTTGACTGGGATCCAACGGTTAGCAGATGCAGATCCTTTCTTTCCTCCGGTGAAATATCCGCTAATGAACCCTAAAAGCGCGCCCATAACCATCAAGCTTGCTCCTTTGACATACCACGAGACATTAGATTCCGATTTTCCCAAAACCGTAGCTGAAGCAGGAATGGTTTTAAGATTTGGGCTTTTAGTAGTGCCCTCTTTGCTCCCACTGATTACTTCCCCAGATGCTAACATCTCAACGGTATCATGAACTTCTCCGTCGTGGTTACCCACAAATGAAACAGTGAGCTTTTCTTTGTTTGCAACTAGACGAGTGTATCCAAACTCACCAGTACGGTACATTGATTGTTCAGGCTGAGGGAATATGGGAACATCTGGATGGTTTGGTCTCGGCTGCCAAATCGGTTGCCAATCTTGACCAGCCATACCAATCACAAGATGAACCGGGTTTCCTTGCCACTGTTTGCCACAAGTGTTGTTGCTTATCGGACAAAACCTTTCGTATCTATGAACATGACCCCATAGAGCAAGTGTCACGTTGTTCTTCACAAACAGCGGTTCCAAATGCTCAACCATCTTTTGTCTAATCATAGTGTCTCTAACCTCGTTGCTCGTAGTGTACATCGGTCTATGTCCTTGCACAACAACAAACGGCGTTTTCTTCCTGTTTACAGACTCTAGATCCCGCTTTATGAATTCGTATTGACTGCCTCCTTTAACGAAATTCGTCTCAGTGGAGATATAAACGAAATGGACCGATCCCATATCAAAAGAATAATATAGATTCTTAGTCGGAGGAGCTTTCGTTCCCGTTGGTTCTGATGAATTTCCAGGCATGTCGAACTTAATACTATACGGAACACCACATTCGCCGCCACCATCGGTTCCATAAGTGAAAGCTGCCCAATCTGGTTTCCACGGCTGATCAGGAAAATCATACTCATGGTTACCAATGCAGACATGGTAAGGAACTTTCGAGGCAATAGGCTCGATCTGAGCAAAGAACTCATCCCACACCCACGAGTAACCACGAGCATAACTTATATCTCCAATGTGTGAAACAAGAGCTGGCTTGTCACCAAGAGCTTCAATGTCACGGAGGATCCACTTCACGGTTGATATACTCTCATCTTGTGTCCTGATAAACGTCGTATAAGGTGTAGCGCAACCCATATCTCCAAACATGAAAGCTATGGTTTCTTCAGCGTAGCCATCTCGAGCAATAAAGCTATGGATCTCACTCCATCCCTTTGAATCACTCCCAACCTGATTCACATGATCAATCAAAACAGATGATCTATCACTCCTGTAATCACAAACCATATTCCTTGCAAAACCTGTCACAAAGACATGACCTTTGATATATTCTTATAATCCAACAACGATACACTACACTACCCAAATGATTCTCTTCATGAATAAGCCTCAAAATCTAGACAAAAGAAATTGATATTTAAAGGTTCGGATTTGTTTACCTGATAGTAGTACCTAACGCCTCCATTCAAATTCTTCATTTCGGTATTGAAAACCCAACCAGGATCCCTCCATCCGATGGTGGAATTAGCCGGAGAATCGCACATGTGCTCTCTCTCGTACCTAATCCCACGCGCCGCCGCGGAGTTGCCTAACGTCTCCTTCGCCTCTCCGTATCTCACGAAACGTTCTTCTCCATCCCCAGCTACAAACATAACCCGCATCCTGTTAACCTTACTGCCTAACGCCAAATGGATCTGCTCCGGCATCCCGACGGCGGATCCGAAAGTCAACTGCTCCGATTCAGCTAGAAGATGTTTCGTTCCTGGTAAAGGATTCTGATCATGATCCTTGTGTTTTAGATCGACCTCGGATTGGGTCCATCGGAAGATCCGGAAAGAATAATTTGATCGGAGATTGGTCAGAGGAAGGGAAATGGAGCCGAAACCAGATTTCCACGTGGAGGAAACATTAAGAAATTTATAACCAATAAAATGATCATGAGGAGACTCCGGCGGCGAGTATATGCCTAGCCAGTCGAGATCGGACGGAGACTCGACGCCGGACCATTGAATGACGACGGAATCGCCAGATCGATTCAGAGTTTTGGGGGAAATGGAAAGTGTCTCCTTGGCATTAGCAGAGGAAACGAGGACAGATACGAAGAGGACGAGGAAGAAAGAGAAATTGCCGATCATTGCGACGGAGGAAAGGAAGAATTATTGTTGCCGGAGCGCCGGAGAAGGAAGATATAAACAGTGATTTAACACGACGACGTTTTCTCGTTCGCTCTGATTGGATGGATTTGATTTATTGATGTAAAGCTAATTTTAAAACCAATACTGATTTATGACATATCACCTTCCCCGAAGATGGGCCTCTTGAGCATATCTAAACCCATGAATATGGGCCATATCGGCCTGTTTAAGGAAATTAAGTAAATAAATTAATTTTAATATGAAAATAAATTTAGTTTGAGGAATTTCAACCGTTTTGTGCATGCCGGGTTCGCTTTGTTTCCACTGAGCTTGCTTTCCATGGCGATGTAAAATATTTCTTCCTTCTCCCACACCATTTCACTGGCCGAGTTTATAAAATCGATTTTACTCTTCTTCTTATTCCACGAAAGTTTTATGATTCGTAGGCTCTACAGATCATTCGCAGCATAATCGAATTATCGATGGCGCATTTGAGTTTGAGCTTGTCGCTGATTTTCCGGGTTTACGCTCTTTTGTTGCTGATCAATGTCTCCCTCGCTAAAACGCTCCAACGAGACTGTAAGTTTTCCCGATCTCTCTCTCATTTAATTGTTTCCAAATTGTGATTTTTTCGCCTGATGGGGTTTTCTGATTCAGCGAGAGATTTGGGTTTTTTTTTATTTCGTTGTGTGGCAGTGAAAGCGTTGAATGAGATAAAGGGTTTGGTCGGATGGAGAGTGGTGTACACTTGGGTTGGAGATGATCCTTGCGGCAATGGAGTTTTGCCTCCGTGGACAGGTGTCACTTGCTCCACCGTCGGAAATTACCGTGTCGTCACAAAGCTGTAACCTTTGACTCAAAAACTCTGAATTTTTTAAAGTTTTGATTTTTTTCACTTAAGTGTATTTGTGATCTTTGCAGAGAAGTGTTTGCAATGTCGATAGGCGGGACTTTCCCAACGGCTGTAACGAATCTCCTAGATCTCACTGTTCTGTAAGCTTCATGGACTTTGCAATCTGTTTCTTGTTGAGGATATGAAAACTTTTGGGTTCTTGTTAGTTCTAGTGCTACCCATTTTCTCTAAGGTGGAAACAAATCCATAGCTCAGGGTATGAATGTTTGAAGGAATTGCTTTATGAATTTTGCAGGGATCTGCACAACAACAAATTGACAGGCCCGATTCCTCCGCAAATTGGGCGGCTAAAGCGCCTTAAGTCACTGTAATGTTCTTCACACACTTTATTAGTTCCACAATGATCTCAATGTATATTAGTTGTTTGAAGAATACAGCGTGGCTGCTTGCTTTCTCTTGATCTTGTTTTGCATTCTGATTTGTATTGCAAACAGGAATTTGAGGTGGAACAAACTTCAACATGTCCTGCCTCCTGAAATTGGTCAGCTGAAAATTCTAACTTTTCTGTAAGTAATTCTAACTCTTGTCAGGGAAGAATATCATTGAAGGGGTTTCCTTGAGCTATGTAACATGATCTCACTAATGCAGGTACCTGAGCTTTAACAATTTCAAAGGAGAAATCCCCAAAGAACTATCAAATCTCAAGGAGCTCCAATACCTACATTTTCAGGATAATCATTTTACTGGGCGTATTCCAGCAGAGCTGGGAAAATTACAAAAGCTTCGCCACCTGTAATCTCTTACATTCAATGCTCTCTTATGTAGATCAACCAACAGATTACAGATATACTTAGTATCTTTTTGTCATGGTCTGCATGTCTATAGGGATGCTGGCAGCAATCACTTAGTCGGGAGTATAAGAGATCTTTTACGCATAGAAGGATGCTTTCCAGCTCTTAGAAACCTGTAAGTGAGTTTGAGAGTTAGCCATCACAAGTGACTTTGTCCCAAGTTACATTCTGGCTGCAGGTTTCTAAATAATAATTACTTCACTGGTGGACTCCCAAACAAGCTTTCAAATCTAACAAACCTGGAGATCTTGTGAGTACTTGATCACTTTTTTTTTTAATTATGAACGCCACTTGCAAATTATATCTCTCCTTATCTTATCCTTTCAAGTCTAGGTACTTATCTTACAACAAAATGACTGGAACAATACCCTCTGCACTTGCCAAATTACCAAGACTAACCTACTTGTAAGTCTTATTCTATATTCGTAACTTTACAATTGATCTGAAAGACCTATGTACTCTCCTGCATCCTTATAGCATGTTCTGTGTTAACCTCAGGCACTTGGACCACAATCAGTTCAGTGGAAGAATCCCTGATGCTTTCTACAATCACCCAAACCTAAAGAATATGTAGGTTCACAACCTCTCTAAGGTCTCTTTGTAAAGATATATATATATATATATATATATCACCCATGTTTTATAACTTAATTCTTGGTGGATGTATGTTGCAGGTACATAGAAGGAAACGCCTTCAAAACAGACGTGAAGGCGATTGGCGCACATAAGGTCCTCGAACTTTCTGAGATAGACCTCCTTGTTTAGTAAATAGTTATGCATATTAAAAAAACTTTATTACACACAGGAATTTTCACCGTGATTTCTGGTTTTGTAAGATTCATTTTCTTTGTTAAAGCAAGATTGTACTTGATGTGTTTTCTGCATGTAAAAGATTCCTTATCCATATATGAAAATTGAATCGAAGGTATCTGGTTTGTTCTTTTCACTGTCCTTTTGAGAAAGCAAAGAACCAAAAAGGCAAAGAGGGAAAAGAAAGAAATGTGTTCTTTACTTAACGTATACACCTTTATGATCCAAATCTGAAACTTGCATGCAAAGCAATAATCTCAAAAACCCTTCAAAACCCAAAACCATCAAACTCAGCTAAACAAACCTTCTCAAGTCCTCCCACCATATTTTAGATTGAAATGGATAGCTTGATCAAGCAAACAAGGTAAAATACTAAATCTCCAAATACATCTTTTGTATTCAACCACACGTACATATACATACATATTGATGTAAAAACTTGATATCTTGGTCTCAGAAGGAGGCACCCAGCTGCCCAGGTAAAAACTGGAGAGGTTAGTAGCTCCACTAGAGAGAAGAAAGTGCCAGCAAGGAAATCTGTTTCATTCAAAGAAGGTGCCACAAAATTCTGCTCTGTTTTTCTTGATGCTTGATTAATTTCACCTTAGGACTTATCATGTTTGTGTGTTCATTGTTGGTAGATAAGAAAAAGCCCTCAAACTGGTTACAGAAGCAGTTCTCGAGGCAAATGAACGACCAAAGTTATGAACCGATCAGCGACATGGACCACGCAGCTGCAGTTGCAGCCACTGCTTATGCCATAACCACTTTTGAAGAAACTTGGCTTGAGAGTTATCATGTAAGTGCTCTACAAATGAATTTATGTTAAGGCTAATTAAAGTAAGCATTTTTAACTGAAAATTTTTAAACAAAACAGAGTGGCCTTGAACGTGGAGCTTCTTTGTCAACGAGCAAAAGTAGAAGAGAAGATCTGTCGCATTTCGAGGAACCGAGAAGCTTATCAAGAAGATTCTCAGGTGACGTTACAGAATAACTCAAAGATTGGATTTTTTTTTTGTTTAACTGAAAATGTATCTTGATGTTAGAGAAAAAAAAAACAATTGTGTTGATCATACAGGACAACTTTCATTTAAAGAACCAGAGCTTAAAGAACACAAAATTCCCACGCTAAAGTCTCCAGTGAGAAAGTCAACGCCGGCCAAAAAGACTCCGACTTTCTCCATGGACCTGAGAGGTGATCACACCAAACAGAGTGAAGACTCAGGGGAGAAACAGGAAAGACGACAAAGAAAACCAGTTTCTGAACCGCAAGCTCCAATGCGGGTACAACCACCGCAAAGGACACGTTCAGAACGCCGTGCTCCACCACCGCCTCGACCCCCACCACCTCCTCCATCACCTTCACCTCTGCGGCTTCCACCGAGGGATATCAAAAGACAGAGTTCTGGATATACTAGTCGAAAAGATGAATCTACAGCTGATGCTTGGGAAAAAGCTGAACTACTTAAGATCGAAGCAAGGTAATTACACTCAATACTCACAAAAAATACTTAATATATGTTTGTTGTTCATACACTAACATATGTATCACACAAGCAGGTACGACAAGTTAACCAGAAAGATCGATCTGTGGGAAACGAAGAAGAGAGACAAAGCTCGAAGGAAGCTGGACAAATCCGAGGTTGATAATATAGTTTGAATTTTTTTTTTTTTCAATCTAATCTCATGATCATTTAACTGAATGATGATTTGAGATTTTTGTCTCTAACCGGTTGGTACATGAACAGCAGAGCGAACTAGAACAGAGGAGGAAGAGAGGTTTGCAGAGATTTAGAGAAGACACAGAATACATTGAACAGATTGCTGCCGGAGCCAGAGCTCAGGCGGAGAAACAAAGGCAGAATGAAGAGCTCAAGGTTAAGGAGAAAGCCGGAATTGTCCGTACTACCGGTAAAATCCCTGGAAAAGCATGTCTCTGTTTCTGACACTAAAACAGAGGATCTCAGATATTTGTAGCTATATAGTGTGTGTATGTGCGTGTGTGTGTGTGTGAGAAATGATATTACAGAAACCACTCCACCATTCAATTAATGAACGCCAACTATTTGTCTTTAACCTAAAATTTGCCCATTGATTTCATAAAACAAACGCTTCGAGAAACATTAATAGTTTAAGACCACATATGATTTTTACCCAAAATCAAATAAAAATCATTAACCAACCAAACAAAATAAGTTAATACCAACTATATTGGCCGGCTATAGCCAGACTAAACCGAAATTTACCATATGAAAGGGAGAAAAAATCCTCAAATATTTGTTTTCGAATTATCTTTATTGAAATTAAATTCTACAAGCTTTTTTTACCAAAATAAAATAAAAAATTCTGCAAGCTTTGAATTGTGTACAGAGATTTTAAAATTCTCATTTATATGGTAGGATACTTATAACTCATCAAAAAATTATTGTTTACTTATCATATACACCATATCTTTGAATATTGTGTATAAAGATTTCATCCGGCAACTGTCCATAGAAACTCTCAAATCTTGCAGGTTTCACAATCTTTTTGGGAATAGATTCTGGTATCTAACCACTGTTACTATTAGAAGGAGGCTTTGCAACAATGAGGTCTACCCAAAGGTACTCGATCCCCAAAGATTAATCCTATTGCTTGGCCAATTTTGTTTGAATGCACTTGATGATGATCTATCCTCCAATAAGTTTCAAAGTCATCCATTGGATCTTAACAGTCTCCAGAGAGAAAACGTTTACCTAAGACAAATAAAAGTGTAATTCAACACTATGATTATGACTCGTCACATGTTAATTTAGGAAAGTAGTTTTTTCATTCTTTGAAATTAGAACATTTACAGATAGTTAAACTTCATAGTGCTTATATCCACTGTCCTACGTTTGCACATAATTGAATTCATTCCTTATAATTACAAAGTGTATATTTAAATTTCTTCACATGTATCATCAACAAATTTAATTCATTCAACATAAATAGTAAAGTCACTTTTATCTGAAAAAATGTTATAAATGTTTTTGAAGCTTTTGTCAAGAAAAAAAAAATTTGAAGTCTAAGGAGATAAGGAAATGTTGCTTATTCTAATCAATCCCTAGAGTCTCACTCGATCCCCGGAGTTCAAACCTATTGCTTCTCCAATTATGTTGGAGTGCACTTGAGATATTTGGAGATTAGTGGAAAATGTTCTCCTCTGATTCTTACGCCAAAGACACCTTTTGATAGCTACACAACGAAGAAACATTGTTCTTTCAAATCTTGTTGCATAGAAAAATCACAAAAGTAACATTTATTAAAAGTTTGGATAATTTACAGGAAAAACAAAAAAAAAGTTTCCATCTTTGAAAGATTTGAGTTTTTTCTGCCAGTTGATCAGCTTGATCCACTGATGTTAGACACAAAAAGCCATAGACAATGCTGCATACAAAGAGAAAGAAAGAAACATCAATAAGGCAAAGAGCAACAACAAAACAAAAAAAAAAAACAGATCTGCATTTAATTTTAGAAACAACAAGAAGTTTCTTGAAATTACCTTAAGATTATCTTGTGTGGTTTTTGTGCATATGGGACAGCGAAAACAGAGTGCAGCAGATTTGGATCAACGAGTTTTACATATGATTTTTTCGAACCAATTTTCGTAATTATCTTGGTATTTTTATTTCAAGTAGTGCTGAAATACCAAAATATTTGTATGCCATTGAAATTTTTTTATAAATAACAGGTGGTTTTAAAACTATGACCAAAAATGGAACTAAATCAATTAATTTGAATGTGAGCTTTCAAAATATAAATAGCTTTTTTAACTTATTTCAACCAAAAATTAATTAAAATAAATTCTAACAGAAAGAAAGACCGTAGAATATCTTGAATCGATCCATCATATCTTACGTCGTTCAACAGTTTTATCAAAAAAATTCATTAGTAGCTTTTTTTTTTCCGCTATCCAACTATTACAATCACATTTGGCCTATCTTAGAAGTGGTTTGAAAACCATCTTCGACCGGCTCGTTATGATCGATTTGGGAAAAAATAACTCCTCTCGCTCGAGCTCATTTTGCAAGACTATCCGTCCGGACATTTTGAATTCTCGGAATATAGGATAAGGTAAACTCTGAGAAGCTCTCGCGAAGTATACAAAAGGATTCCAATTCTGTCTTAAAAGATGGCCAGTCTGCTGGTGATTCACACATGCTCACAAGATCCGAGCAGTCGGTCTAAAAATGCACCGACGTCATCTGTATTTCTCTCAGGCATGACATAGCCCATAAGAGGCAATCCATCTCGGCGTGAAGAGCCGAGAGACTTCTACGACATCTCTGTAGACCAAAAATCTCTGTTCCTCTGTCATCCTTAAAACTCCAACCAAGGCCGCTAACCTGTCCGTGATTGATCCAAAAAGCATCAATCCGGCATATCGGGGTCTGCGGTACCTCGGGTAGTGATATCAGGACCGGAGGGGAGGCCAACGCCTCAACGTGAGCAGCATCATCGTCTTCAGCTTGGTTTTCATGGGTAGCTGAAAAACCAAAAATATCATTGCTTCAGATGTCTTGTTTATAGTGACTTTATACGGTCCTGGAAGCATAAGAAAACCAACAGACACCACCGCATAAATACAAATGCAGGAAATCTTTTGTTTTCAAGAGCTTATCATGTACCCTATTGAACCCATTTAAAACCACCACATGATAATATAATACTCTCTCTTAAATTAGAAAAGGAAAAGAAAAAAATCCAAATTGAGAAAATAAATCGAACTTAATTTTTGGAATTTCATATATTTGATTTAAAGTCAAACTCAAACCAATATAAACATCATGCCAAACCGGTTCATATAAGATTCCATTTTGCGTTAATTACTATTCTATCAAACCGAAGCCAACAAAACCCGGATGGAGCCCTTTCTAAAATGTATCTGTCACTAACGCTAATCGGGTTTAAAAACTTTTAAGAACACAATGTAAATATTGGGTCACTAATGTCACTTATTGTGGGCTCAACTAATTTGCTTAGGGCACCCGAATCAAGCTGGGAGATTAATAGAAAAGAAAAAAAAAAAAAAAAAGCTTGTATTACTCTGCCGACAAAATAAAGTGATTGCCTTTATCACCCATCAAAGCTTCCACCAACACGACAACCTTCAATGGAAAACAATAATTTCATAGATGTTTATGTGATAGGACAATGCATTGAACACCACAAAAGAAATATCTAATATGTGTGATCGACAAGAGAACAGCACATTCGTCACAAATATTTTGTAATAACTGATCCCTAAATGTATTTTCGGCCACGACAAACAACGACATTAACAATTGTTAGTGTATTAGCCTATTAGGTAACCTCATCAACGTACAAATTACAAAGATATACACATTTGTGTAAGTTGTAACATACACAACAATTATTAAGAAGAAATAGTAGGAGTATTAAACACGACAAACTAAAGTGACTAGATCTTTTTGGAAACATTTTTTTATCTTCAATTAAGTTAAATCATTTTACAAAAATAGTTATTTTATAAAAACAGTTATTTCTATAAAGTTTATGATAATGTAGTGCATATTTTGTGAATTTTTAAAAATGAGTTGATTCGTATATAATTTTTTTTTAGTTTGAATTATAAAAATTAAGTTAATCCGTATATGTTATAAAAAGATAAAGCAAAATAAACTGTTCATTTAACCCGTTAACATTAAACTGAAATATTATTCAAACTAATACACAAAATATTATAATATCATTAAAATCAACTACATCGCTTAGTAACTGAATTTTATAATCTGTCCACAAACTATAAAAAAATATTTTTATCTTCTAACAATATATGAAAATAGTATAATATTCTTTAAACTTAGATTTGATATATAATAAATAAAAATGCAACAAAATTTATTTAATCTTAAAGACAAATTATAATATTTAGTGGATTTAATATACCACCTATTTTAAAACTAATATTTTGAAATGCAAAATTTGTTTTGGTGAATATTAAAAAATTAGAATTATAATTCATTCATACCGAATTAATCCGTTTACTTGTTTGTACTGGATTAAAATATAAAACTAATTATAATAGGCATCAATAAATCTCACTTCAATATTAATTTTTTATTCTAAAAATTATTTTTTCATGTCATTTTTTGGTAAAAAATAATTTAAAATAAATTTCATATATAATGAAATAAATATAGCAAATTAAAGTAAAAAATATTTCACCATTTTTAAATATTATAAATTTTAGTTTTGACTTTTATATTATTTAATTGTGAAAACAAAATATTTTCATGTTTTTTAATTAAATATACTTTATGATATTATTTAAAACAAAAATATAAAAACTATCATATTTTAAAATTCAGAAACAAAGACTTTCCATATTTTTGTCAATAAATTTGAAAGATAACTATATCCTTTTTTAATTTAATTATTCTTTGATATTTGTAATGATATATCATGTAATATTTTACAAAATAAAATTTATATTTAAAAATGTCTACTTAAATAATAATATAGAAATGAGTTACGTACACAATATTGTATTGTTATTAACTACAAAAAATAATATCCCTATAGTGGATAAATATCCATTTTCTGTCTATATATACACATATCCCATTCTCTTAACTCTTACATCCAACAAAAAAAAAACTATATTCAGCGAGAAAAAAAAAAACCAAAAGATGAACTTCATCTCTGATCAGGTAAAGAAACTCTCCGACACGAAAACGGCGGAGCCGGAGCACAACAAGCCCGTCGAAGGAACCGAAACAACCAATAGACCAGCTTCCTCCGCCGAGGTCATGGCTAGTGCCAAGATTGTAGCCGAAGCTGCTCAAGCCGCAGCTCGTAACGAATCCGACAAACTCGACAAGGGTAAAGTCGCCGGAGCCAGCGCTGATATCTTAGACGCCGCCGAGAAGTACGGTAAGCTCGATGAAAAAAGCGGTGCTGGTCAGTACCTCGAGAAGGCCGAGAAGTATCTCAACGAGTACGAATCTACACACTCTACTTCCGGCGCCGGTGCTCCTCCTCCGGCGGCGGCGAGTCATGATGATCCGGCGGCGGCGAGTCATGAGGAGCCGGCAGCTAAGAAAGCCGATGAAGAGTCTGGTGGTGGCTTGGGAGGTTATGCAAAGATGGCTCAAGGTTTCATGAAGTGATTTGTGATCTTTATTTGTAGTTTTATTCATGCGCGTAATAATAAGATTAAATAACTAAGTACGCTAATTAGTAATTATGTTGCATCGTTTAGTATGGTCGTATGATGTAATAATAACTTTGGAGATCATGAATCTATCCTTGTTATGTCAGAAAAAAAATTTGTGTTTATGCTAAATTTTATTGCTGCTCATAAAACCAAAATTAGAGAGTGAAAATGGTTCTCTCGGATTCGAATTGATTATATTCTATATCATTGGATTCATAAATTTAAAAATATGTTTCCTCCGGTTCCTCAAATTACATGTTTCAATTTTTATTTTACTGGTGACTATGTTTCATTTTCTTTTCTAATTTACTGATACCAGTTAAAATTCCAATAAAATTGGTAACTTCAAATCTTCAATTAGTAGAGAGCACTTAGATATGTTAATGCGACTCATTTACTTGATTTGTGTCAAAATTATTAAACATACAAAGACAAGGATTATACTTGAAGAAACAGAGATGTTAAATACATGAATGCCAATTACTTAACTGTACTTAACAATCTACATTCGCTCATTAATCCTTTCATAATACAAACACCTAGAGTTATCCATAATTCTCTCAGTTCCACGCAAAATCTGATTACACCTTTCATGTCTAGATTCAGGCACAAAATCTATCAGCTCAACTAAAGGATCTGTTATTACAAGAGAGCTGTTAAACTTGTCTCTCCCAGGAACAACATGCTTCTCCCAGAAATCAACAAGCGTTAGTTTCATATCTCCCCAAAACACAGAATCTCTCTCAATCCTAAACAAGCTACTCCCATTAACAGTCCAACAATACAAATCCAACCAATCTCTATCCATAATCTCCATCAAACCCTGAGCTTGTGGAACATAGTGCCAAGGAACTTTCTTCCACGGACAAGCCTGTGTTTTATCTCCGTCGTAAAAAGGACATTTCACTTCGAGCACGCCTTTTGAGCACGACCCATCTTTACCCACCACGAGAATGTCTGCATCAGACGAAGCTCCTAACCAGTTTACATCATCATCTTCTTCTTCTAAGGCTACGAATTCAGGCAAGAGAAAGTAATGTCCTGTTATTGCGTGGTATCTTTTGAGTGCTTCTTTCTCTTTGAAATTGGTCCAACACGTGGCTGCGTTGCCTGAAAATGGCTCTGACGCTCCGATTGTCTCTAACCAGAGCTGGACTCTACGGTTAGGCCAAAACCCAATTGCTTGAGCAAAAGTACTCGATGTCAATCGGTTTCTTCTCTGGTTTTCCCAGTTTTTACGCCAATGCTGCATACAAGGCGCCTTTGTAAATGAAAAATTCGAGCTCAAGATCTCGGAGTTGCTGCTGCTGCTGAATCTTCTTCTAATTTCTCCTCGGTGGATCGGTTTGACGCGGAAACAGTCTTCGAGAAGAAGATAATCACTGCAATTTACAAAAATTGAAGCTTTTGAAACAACAAATCACGAATTTAAATCTTACAAAACAAAATAAAAAGAAGCTAAAAACCGAAAATTGACCTTAAAATCTTGCAAGAGGTACGAGAAAACATGCTTGAGACAGTCCCAAAACCAAAGAGGACGAAAGGGGAAGGCTAAACAAAATTCCAGCTTGTCGGAGATATGAGATTTTGTGTAAACTGTAAAAAGGTCTTTCAGTATATATGTGGGACCTATGTTGACGAGAACCAGAAGCAACATTCCAGAATTACCCTTGTGACATCACCCTACGATACGCAAAGCAACATCGTTGGGCCATATACTATTTGCAAAGGTACTGAAATAGGCCCACACACTAATTACGTGAACCGAACCGAAGTGAATTGAAACTCGGTTTGATATTGAAATCGAACACTAATAGAAAAAAAACTGAATGATGAAAATTTTATGAATAAAAATATCTTCATCTTCATGTATATCACCAAGCTGGAAAATAAAAAATTCCTCGATGAAAATCTCTATCAAACAAAACAGTCTGAAATTATCTCTCTCTTCTCTCTATACGACAACGATTATTGAAAAGAATTGATTGGAGGAAAATAGTTATATAAATAAAAGTTACAATTATTCCTCTTCTTGTCACGTGTATGGCGCGTGTGATGATGATGGACGTTGGTTACTTGCAGCTGCAGTTGAAGTTGAAGGACATCGTTGTCTTCTCGGCCTTCTTGTCATTTTACCCCAACCTGCGAAGCTTCTATCTTCTAAAACCATTTCAACTTCACCATTCTTGCTGCTTTGATTTCCCACATATTGTTCAACCGAGGGACAAGGAGCTGGAACCGGGAAATAAACCGGTTCAGGGATTGTTATGACCCGTCTTGGTCTTCCTCTTGAACCAGTTTTCTTCCTTGCTAAACCGGTTGGAGTCCAGGAGCTTCCCGTTGCTCTCATGAACCCATCAAACATCTGAATGTCTTCTGTTACTTCGTGTTTCGAAAGAGACAGAAGCCCCGGGAGAATGTCTCTTTGGAAGTCTCGTCTCTGTTTTCCTTTTCTCGCGTTTCCTCTTCTCGGTCTTTGGCTCGTGACCATCGCTGTTCCACAAGTTTCCTCCAATCTGAGGTCTTCAGGGACTAATGGCTTAGGCATGTACTCGTCTTCTGTGATCTCATGTAGTTGCAGGGTCATTGACTCGAAGTAATCAATCTCTTCGATAGAACGCGCTTGATTCCTCGAGAAAGAAGCGAGCTTCTGGTCCAGATTCTCTCTGTGCGTGTCTACTGTTTCTGCAAACCAGTGAAGGATGACGGTTTCTGGAGCTTCTACAACTTCAAGCTCTCTATCTAGACAAGCTGAAGAGATGGCAACTATGGTTTCTGCTGCTAACTTTTCAAACTCGGGCGGGTTCTCCAGAGTTTTTTCCTCAATCGTAGTTTCTCCTGATGGTTTTATTCCAGAGATATCATCTTCTTCTTCATCATCAGACTCAGGAGCTGCAGGAGCTTCTAGATCTATCATTGGTGCCTTTGAATTCAGTCTTGAACTGGTAGGAACTGACCAATTTTCACATTCATCTTCACTGACCAACATGTTAAGATCAATCTGGCACCTATTACTACTACCCGGAAAATTTGTCCTGGTCTGTTCCTCCATTTGCTGATCTTCATCCGAGAGAGGTTCACATGGTTCGTTGATGTCTAGCATCCTAACTTTATGGACTTTATCTCTTTCTGCGTCGGATTGTTCTCTATAAGCAAATCCAGGAATTTTCAAGTTAGCATTGATCTTCTCCGTGACCGGTTTTTTGGAACAAGAACCAGACCTTAAACTCTCAAGCCACAAAAGATTCTGAACATTCTTTCCTGCCTCCTCTTTGTTATCCGAAGGTTTCGAAGAAGAACTCGGAACAGCATCATTACTCTTCAGATTCCATTTCCCATCAGCCACCTCAGAGTTACAAGCAGACTTGGGTTTGATAAGCCATGATAAAGTAGCGTGATGTTCTTCATCCTTTCTGACTTCAACAACAGAAGTATTTGAAAATGTCACATTTAAGTTCAAATCTCTTACAAACTTCACCTCCGAGCCATTTGAATCAATGAATGGATTTGCTGGGGTGTAATCACTTCTTCCTCCATTTGGATAATTATAGCCAGTCCCGGAGAATTTAGATTTCGATGAAGAAGAGCACTCATTGTAAAACATGTTGTGGTTTGACCGAGTGGTATTCCCAGACCCTGAGTTATATCTAGAACTGTTTTCAATCTGTAATCTGTCTCCGAGACACCCTTGTTTCTGAGCACTACCACTCAGCGTGTCAGACAGGTTTAGAACCGGGTATCTCTGCGCTGAAGCAACTCTCTGAGGGAAGCCAAAGCTAGGATTTTGCCAAGAGGAATGTAATTGGTTCCACGGGACAGCAGAATCTGGAGGATTATATGGATATAAGTGTCGTGGTTGATGAGAAGCCAAACTTGATTCATGAATGACTTCGTGACTACTATTAGTATCAGTAGTATCAGCTTCTAAGTCAATAAACGTCCTTTCTCTCCAGAAGACTGCCTTGCTTTGAGGACCAGAATTAGGTAAACCCATTACTCTTTGTGAGCTGTTCATGAAAACTTGCATAGGCTGAGAGGATAAATCCAGTGGCTTGGCCGGTTGAAGAAATGGAGTAGCAGACTTATGTGTATTCCTTTCACTGTATTGATCTGCAAATGGTGGATTTCACATGGAAAACATCGAAAATTAGAAACAATTTTATGTGAAATCCAAAAAGTTGGCATTTACAACTTAGTGTGCATCATCTTACCAATTCTTAAGGGTTGATGTGGCCAGAGTTTGGATTTACCGTTCTCATCTGGATGCAGAACAGGAACATGCTCCCTCACACTGCTCGAGTTCAGGGCTTTTCCGTAGTCGCGAATATGGCCTTGAAATTCGCCATTACGCAAGTGGCCATAAGCAAACTCATTTGTTTCTTGAGCCTTGAATGGTTCGTTCAAATCAGCCAAACCATTGCTTCTACTACTAAACCCACAACCAACTCTCAAACTATCTCCGCGAGGTTCAGTCTTCACAACATCTCCATTAGGAAGCTGACTCGACGTGCCACAATCCCTGTGATCTTTCAACTCTACAACTTCTTCGTTGTCATCAATGTACTCATCAGCCGGAAGACAAAGATCTATCATCTTCTTCCTGATTTTCGTCGGTCTAACCTCCAACATTTCGGCATTTTTGGAACTGGCTCCATTTTGCCATGGAACTGGACCAGCGACCCCTTGAGAATTACTTCCTTTCATGGGAGAATGGCCATTATCTTCAACTACCGACATGGATGGTCTATCGTAAACAGAGTTTGCCAAAGGTAAACTAGGGATTTTCCATCTACGGAAATCATCATTAGTAGCTTGAGATGAACATGATGCCTCAAATTGACCCCATTCTTTGTTCATCTGTTTCCTTTTCAGTTCATCCATCATATCTTTCTGTATCCTGTATACCCGGTGAAGTTCCAAAACCTGGTTAAAGATGAAAATGCAGAAAGATATAATATCAACCAAAAGCTGACAAAGCCAGAAAAAAAAAAACAAGAAAGATCATAGAGAGGAATCATCTACCTGTGTCTTAAAAACAGCTTCGTGTTCAAGCATTGTCCTTCTCACCACATCTTTGTCATACTCGAATGTAGTCTGGGAAGGGAAGCCATTGTAGGACTGATCATTCGCCGAGGTTTTACTGTCACCGTAGAACAATGGCCATCTACAACCGTTAGATTCGTTGTTGAGATCTCTCATAGAGTGATATACGCTTTCACAGTGCACCTTTGTTCCCATTCCTGCCTCACAAAAAACCCAACTTTAGTCTTGAGCTTATCTAATTCAAAGACATTGAAATTGGCCCCCAAATCCTAATCACACAACAAGCATTAACCACATTTCCTCCGGCAAAACAAATACTTTTATAGCTCCCTGAGCTCAGTCTGGTTCCATCACCATAAATCCATTTCTGATTTAGCTTCAACAGTTCCTCAAAAGTCAAAACATTTGCCAAGACAAAGCAATTGTGCGCAGATTTTTCAAACACTATAAATAAGGGTTTTGACTCGGTGATAACTAAAGGTCGTCTTCAAGTGGATGAGTTCTAACACAGACGAGTCAAAATAGGATCTCGGAGAAAATTTTAATCAAGTCAAAATCTAAAGTTAGATTACAAGGAATCTGCAAAATATTAGGACAAGATTGTACCAATATTGACAGAAGAAATGCATTAATCTAGTGAACCTGAATGAAAATTAAGCAGATGAAAATTGAAATCCCCAAATCACCAAACAAACAGAAAATGAAAGAAATAGTAATAAAAATCCAATTTTTAAGAGTTGAGAAAAATTGGGTTTTTACCTCAGACCCACATCCTCTTATCGCCAACGCCTCGATACTTTCTTCAGAAGACAAGAAAAAAATGAGGATTTTACAAGTTTCAACAAAGTGAAATTAGAGAAAAATCTCTGAATCAAAGGCAAAATAAGAAAAATTCGAATCTCTACTGTGAGGGGGATTGAAACCAAAGAAAAAATAAAGTATGGGTATAGTAGTTATAGCGTAAACACCATTAATGGAAAAAATTAGATCGTCATCTTCGATCTACTGGGCCACTCTTCTCTCTCTCTCTCTACTCTCTCTTGTTTCTCTCACCAAACAAAATATTTCCGGAGAGGAAAAGAAATCTCCTTTATTCTTCTTCTGCTTCTGCTTCTTTTTGTGAGCGATAAAAAGAAGTTTGTTTATAGAGAGAAAAAGAAAGATCCCAAAATCACATAAACAAACGACCCTTCTATCAACAGTGACATGAAATTATTTGTCAACATCCGGTCTTCTCTCCCTTTTATTCTCTGCTTTTTCTTCACCTTTTTTTAGTTTTTTTTTTTTTTGGTTCCTCTCTTGGTTAATGTAATAATAAAATAAAATTTATACATTTTAAAGAAAGAGGAAGACGAATATTTTGACTCCTAAAACTTTTCTTTAAAAAATCTAGTTACTCTACTGCTTATAAATTTCTATCAAACTTTAAACAAACCTTTATCTGTTGACAAAAAAAAAATACAAACCTTTATCTGTAGACAAAAAAAAACCTTTATTTAGTTTACATATTGAATAAGATTTCCTAATTTAAAATTATACTGCAGTAGGAGAAAATAAATGCTTAAATGTGAAATACTGAAATGGGTATCTTCTAGGCTCTTTCCATCTTTCTTTGTTTTCTTGCAATGATTTAAAAAGTCATGTATCTAAGTAATTTATTTTATACAGTATATTTAAAAGAAAACATGCTAAATTAACAATTTTAACGAGGATTATTTACTTTGGGTCTTTGTTGTGTTTTGTTACAGATTAAATTTTATGTACTGCAAAAAGATTAGATTAAGGAATTTGCTAGTTTTGGTAAAGAGTTCCACCACTTATTTTTAAAAGTCGAAATAAAAACTGTCTAGATTGAGTGTTCTAGTGGGTTACATACTCGCATCTTTTGAATAAATATATAAAGACTATATTATATATGTTGTAATATAATGATAAGAGGTAAAATGTTGTTTACTAATACTCTGGATATGGTAACATAATAACGGATACTAGCTAGAATAAAATATTAAGGCAAAAACAAACTGAAAATCCAAAACGAACATGTCGTCATGGATAATTTTCGTAAATCCTTGGCCCATTAATTACGCATCCTTAAGTTTAACACATTTTTCTATTAGGCGTCGTCACTATTTCAAACAATAAATATGAATAAAGCTGTAATTAATAAACTATTGACAGCAAACAAAGCGTGGGTCCCGCCGAAAGATCTTCTTTTCTTCTGTAGCTCTATCTCGTTGGCTACTGTGGAATCATTTGTTTCGTTTTTATACCGAGGAATTATAAGTTTATTTAGACTCAGAAATTTTTCGATTGGTGAGCAAATTTGATTTTTGATTATGAGAAAATTAAGTCCCTGTTTTATAAAGGGGAGTTTTGGTACTGATGGGAGGGATCCATGAGCCATAATAGCTCTAAAGTTTTAAAGAATTATAGGGGGAATAAGGACTTAAATTTCTAATTTTAAAAATGCATCTGTTCAGTTGAGGCATAGAGCCATGAAATCCTATGGTAACATTGATACGTTCAGTGTGTGTTGTACCACACTGAATGCCCCCAAAAATATCATTTTCTATTTAATTTTTAGATATTTATTTATTATGAAAATAAATGTTTTAGAGTAATACTTAATAAATACTCATACATTAGTCACTTATTCTAAAAAGAAATAATAGAAGGCAGAATCGAGTATAGTTTGATTCGTATGTATTTTGAACATGGATTTGCATACACTTTCAACATTCAATGTATATTTTTATTCAATAACACGTTATTTTATATCATAATATCATATGTTATTCGTTTATACTCCCTCGTTTCATAATAATTGTCGTTTTAGATTTCATTTTTTGTTTAAAAAAAAATATCATTCTGCATTTTCAATGTAATTTTTTACTATTATTTCTTGTTTCACCCTCATTTAAAAATAATAGTCTTTGTAATTAAATGTTATAAAAGTATATTAATTAGGAGTATATTTGTATATTGTATTAATTTCTTTGTAATTAAATGTCATGATACTTATTATGAAATGGAAGAAATATTAAACACTAAAAACAATGCATAATTTTACGATTTTTTCACCAGTATTAGCAAAAAGTACTGTCCCATGTGTCTAATCCTGAGGGTTTGATTTTCAAAGATGTTTTTGGTATCTAATCCAGGTTCGATTTCCATTGCCAGCATATATATATATATATTATATAAATAGTAATGTGAATTTTTCTGGCCCGTAAAGGAGTAACAAAATAATTATCACTTTTTTCGATCGACGTGACCAAAAAACTCTTCTTTAAATAAAAATCGAACTGTAGATATAAGCACGAATGTTTAAAGTCCTTTATAATTTTCTTGTCTCACACAAACTTTGATATTTCTCAAAACAGTTTCTTGTTTAAGGTATTCGGTCAAAAAACTACCTACGCTCTTCGACGGTTCTGTGGCATGGCATCATTGTGTTTTGTCTCTTATGTCACATACCCACATGGTTAATTCCGTATTTGTATTTTTAGGTAACATCGGAAAATTTAAGACCCTGTTTCATTTTTAATTACTTCAAATCGAAGAATAATACTAAATATAATAGAATAATAATGGGTCGTAGATCTATATGCGTTAAATCGTTAACTATATTTACCGCAAAATATCGGTAGAACATTTTCTTTGACAACAAAAAAATCAGAAATAACTTTTGTTTTTGTCACCTTTTTAAAAGCAGAATTGGAGAATTATGAATACTGGATTAACTTCGATACCATGGTACAACATCTTTATATATCACTCTATATATACAAAGTTAGTAATAAACTAAACCAAATTGATCAAATAACTCGAAGACTTAAATAATATATCGAATCGAAGGGCTTGTATTATTATAAGATATATATACATATATCAATAGATATAATACTTTTATTTGGTTCAAGATAAGTTGGGAATAGACCTTAAAAGTGGTCCAAAGCATACTTTCGGAAATGTCACTCTCATCAGAAAAACAATTAAGATTTATTAACTGAGTATTAGTCAAGGGTCCTATCATAGTTCTCATGGTGTGTCCCACCAAATTGATTTCAATGCGAATCAAAGAGAGAAAAAATAAAAATAATTCCCTAAGTAGATACATATATTGATATATACATGCAAGTATCCAACTGTCATTTTTCTTTAGTATTTGTATCAAACAAAAAATATATTTTCCAGTCACGATAAAAGTCTCATTAAAAACTTTCAAGATTAAATTTAACTAATAATATTGGTTCAAGTCAAAATTTGTCTTCTAATTTATATGAATTAATATGGCATTACTAAAGAAGAAAACTTCAGAAAACTGCAAATTAATTTAGAAATAAAGATTATACAGAAAATATTATGGTGGTTGAAAACTATTGAATTATATGTTACTCTATCGTTAGTCATTATGCAATCGGAAATATTTTGATCACTTAATATTAAAACAAAATAAAACTGGTACTTGAAAAGTAAATTATTTGCCACTCGTCTCCCACTAGCTCCCCTCCATCCACTTTTACAAAAAATAACTATTAAACAAAAATCCCCTCTCGTGACTCGTCTTTAACGTCCATTTTTTAGACTATAATTTTAACAAATTCTAGTTAAATAATTTATCAGTTACGTAAAGATAGTCCCTTTCGAAAAGTTTACATCAATTTTTGAAAAGCATCAAGAACGTAGACAAACCACACTTGTCCGCACAAAACAAAGAACTAAATAAATCGTATTGTAGCCTGAAAAAGTAGATTCCAATAAAATCTATGGCTAATCGAAATCTGTAACAAGTACTTTAAAAAGGAAAAATATCGAGCAACGACGAATTATAGGCTAAATATCTGAGAAAAACAAAACGTGAATCAGTCAGAATTGGTTGTGCATTTGATACAAACGTACTTCACGAAAACTCAGACTGATTCCAACTACATACATCCATTTTGGACTGTTTACTTATGTGTTTCCATCGTTATGATTTGTCTATTGGGGTTTGTGAAAAAATGATGTCAAAATAATTAGAGGTTATGCGTTCGCATTTTGGGGGTGTGACATTGGTGTTAATAAGGACAGATGAAGGCCAGTTTTTTTTTTTTTAAAAAAGGTGTTAATAAGAACAGATAAAAAAACATTAGCAAATTAGACAGGCGACCAATTTGTAGTCGTTCTAGTGGTTTGACCGGTTTATCATAAAAGCTAAAGACCTATGTTTGAGTGTTCAACAATGGTTCTATCATAAACTAAACAATGTTGGAAGTAACAGAAAAATTATAGAATACGTGTAAATATTAGGTTTGAAATTCTCTTGTTATAAAATTGGACACATCCAAACTCATACTAAGGAAGTCCGGCCTAAATGTTTCCGATCCTAATGAAATGCCGTGTTATGAATTATATCAATTTATTATTGACGGATACTCGATAGATTTCGAAGCATGCAACTATATCCACATAATGTAGATATCATTTTTTCGTGAAAAAACAATTGTGTTTATTTTCTCTGTTTTTTTTGTTCTTTTGCTTTTTTTTTTCCTTCTCGATTGATAAATGAGCCCATAGTCAAAATATAGAATTTGGGCCTCAATCACCCCAAAAACAATTGCTATCAGAGGATTCGTAGCTTTCAAATTACCAAACATCGAGCATAAGATATTGATAGACAATTTGTGTGCACAGAAGAGCGAGACATTGACGGTGTAACTGGTGACCTAATTATGCCATATGCAAACGTGAAAATATATCTACTGTCACTATTGTTTGTTCTGAATAAGGCTTTCAATTTTTTTCTGTCATGAACTTCTAACTACACTAGGTGTGTTGTTGTACTGCAATAATAGACAAACAAAAAAATAACAAACTAGGTAAAAGAGGCTTTCAATTCTTTTTTATTTACATCATTTTATTCTAATTTTATTTTCCTTCGATCGTTTTCACGGGCGTGTGACCGTGTGTAGTAAGGCTTATTTATTCCTGATGATATTTATAATATATCAGAAAGGGCCAATCACCGAATTTAGTCGACAAGGACGAGAGAAAAAAGGGAAAAAGATGCTCTGATTCTCACAAACCATGATGAAAGGGGCAAATTCGTCTTTCACTGATATGTGAGTAAGTGGTTTATATGTATTTCTGATTTGAAAAGTACGAATCGGAATCCAAGATTCGTGGACACAGATCGTTTTATAGGGATTAGAAAGACAAACAAATGTTTTATTTTATTTGTCTCTAGATAGTAGAGAGCAACAGTACATCTAACTCTTGTTTGCCATGTTTACCCTTCTAATGATGGGCCATGTAATCTGATTTCTCCAATTTACACAAAAAAAAAATGTTAATATATATATTTTTTTTTTACCTCATTAGTCATTCGTATAATGCGGATAAAACAAATGACGTATTATGAGTTTTCTAACATGTGATATAAACATGTAGCTACATATAATTTTCAATAAGTGTCGAGAAAATCGACTTATACTAACATCTATATAAAACTTATTACTCCACGCACAATATGGATAAGGGCCTAGCTGCTTTTACTCCAATACTTAGATGATAAATTCTCTTTGTCTCATTTTCTTTTTGCAGATGATAGAACATCAGACGATAAACACCTGGTAACATTGGTCTCATCTCAGACCGTACAACTGAATATCAGATAGTTTAATCCAACGGTGAAGAAACGCTCTATTTTTTTTTATAACTTTTGAAGCCCATCTCAATTACAAATGAAAAAGAAAAACCCTAGAAAGGCTCGTTGGTATAAAAGCCCAGAAGAAAACGCCACTTTCGCTTTCTCGGTCATCTATTTGGATCCGTTTCGTCTGTGACAAAAAAAAAAATAATCTTCCATCGTTTTTCCTCGCCGAAGCTCCAGTCATCTTTCCCTCTGCAACCATGTCAGACGAGGAGCATCATTTTGAGTCTAGCGACGCCGGAGCTTCCAAAACTTACCCGCAACAAGCTGGAACCATCCGTAAAAATGGTTACATCGTTATCAAGGGTCGTCCCTGCAAGGTTCTTTCCCAAATATTTCCTTCATTCTCTGATCTTAGATCTGTTGATTATTCGGCGATCTCTGTGCTTGTGTTTTTGTATCTCCAAGGTGATTCGGTTGGATTGTGTCTTGTGATCCTTGTCAAATTTCTATCTTATTGCACTTTCTTCCTTAATTTTACCGTCAGATTATCAGTATGTGTAGTTTCAATCTCGTTCGATTAGATCAGGTTTAGGATCATTTCTTATCTGTAAGTAGATGTTTTGTACGCAAATGGCACGAAAAGCAGCTGCTATTATGATTTTTGATTTGACAGAAAACGATTTATCAGGAGATTTGATTCGTCTGCATGATTAAACACAAGTGCTAAGATTCTTGCATGCTATATGTTGTTTGTGATATAGTTTTTTCTCAACCTCTGATTCCTTAACAAGAGAAAGAGATCTAACTAATGTTGGCGTTGCAGGTTGTTGAGGTTTCAACATCAAAGACCGGCAAGCATGGTCATGCGAAATGTCACTTTGTCGCTATTGACATCTTCACCAGCAAGAAGCTTGAAGATATCGTTCCTTCTTCCCACAATTGTGATGTATGTGCGAGCTTCTTCTTTGATTTAGCAGTGTCTTTGATTCCCTGCATTTGAAGTTTCTTAAGCTGCTTATATTGAATTGGGTTTTCAGGTTCCTCACGTCAACCGTACCGATTATCAGCTGATTGACATTTCCGAAGATGGATATGTATGTGTGCTTAATAACCATCCCTTTTGGCCCTTTTTATATTCTTTGCATCTAAATTGTTTAGTAAGTTTTTCTTGTTGTAATGATCATCTTTCAGGTCAGCTTGTTGACTGACAATGGTAGCACCAAGGATGACCTCAAGCTCCCTACTGATGATGCTCTGCTCCAACAGGTTATGTCTTACTTCAGACTTTTTGTATCTGAAGATTTAAGAGTGTTCTTTACGTCCGATTTTCTGAAACTAGTTTACCTGATTGGTGTGAAATGAAACAGATCAAGAGTGGGTTTGAGGATGGAAAAGATCTAGTGGTGAGTGTGATGTCAGCCATGGGAGAGGAACAGATCAATGCCCTCAAGGACATTGGTCCCAAGTGAAAATCACTAAACCTATTGTTGTGTATCAACAATGGCGTTTATAGGAGCAGGAGGTTACTGTTTTATGAACCTTTTAATTATAATTTATGTGACTTCCGCTCTCTCTCTCTCTCTGTTTTTCTTCCCTTTATTATGTAAACTTCTTCTCTTCTTATTCCTTCTTCAGGAGGTCAGAAATTATCTTGTGTTTTGGTTTCTCTACTTTGGAATGTCTAACATTTTGTTACTAATGTCTCATCGTCTTCAACTTTTTCTATAATATGTTTCTTTTTTATGTTTGAATTTTTTGGATGCCCAGATGTCAACCGCTCCCACACATATGATTATTGCCTTTATGCGCCAAGTCTTTACTCGTGGGTATAGGTAGAAACGTAGAAGCAATACCAAAATAGGAAAATTTAATATAATTAACGATATATGCGACCTAAATTCAAGAGACGAGAGTATATTATTAACTAGTTCAACCTCTTTTGGTGAGATTGTTTTGGTTTTAGCTGGATATAATAAATGTAAAAAAGATTAAATTTTTGCTATAGTAAATGATTTTTCAGAAGAACAACAATTATATATAGTAAAAGTTAATGGGTAATTACTCTTTAGGTAATTCCTAAAATATTACTTATATCTTTTTTTTTTGGTCGAAAGTATTACACTAGAAGAAAACACCTCATTTACAACGACCATATTCGTTGTAAATTTGTTGTAAATGAGTGTTTGCATCGATTTTACGACAAAAATCAAATCGTCACGATCGTCGTAAATCAAATTTCGTCGTAAATTCGTTGTAATTAGCGACGATTTATATTCGTCGCTAAACGATTTTACAACGATTTTTCAAATTTTTTTATTTTTTATTTTTAATTTTTTACAATGATTTTACAACGATTTTTATTATTTTTTTTATTTTTACGACGATTTTACAACGATTTTTTTTTTTTAATTTTTACAACAAATTTACAACGATTTTATTATTTTTCCGGCGATGGTGACTCTGGTGGTGATAGCTCCTCCGACGGTGGTGGCTCCTCCGGCGGCGGTGGCTCCTCCGGCGGCGGTGGTCGCTGGTGGTGGTCGCCGGTGATTGTCGTTGATCGTCGATGGTCGCTGGTGGTCGCCGGTGGTCGCCGGTGGTGGTCGCTGTTGATCGCCGTTGGTGATCCGTGGTGGCCGGTGGTTACTCTGATGATAGTGATACACTGATTGTTTAATAGTTATGAGTATGTATATATATACTAGAACAAATTTTCCAAAACTAGACTTTGTATCTTTTATGAAATCGTTGTAAAATCGTTGCAATTTACGACGATTTGATTTTTTTAATAATAATTTTTTTTTTTTAAAAATTAAAAATTAAAAGTTAAAAAAATAAATCGTCGTAAAATCGTTGTAATTTACGACGATTTGATTTTTTTTTTTAATTTTTTTTTTGAAAAAATCGTCGTAAATTGCAACGATTTTACGACGATTTAATTTTTTTAAAATTATTAATTTCTAAAAACAAAATATCGTCGTAAAAACGGTTTTACAACGATTTTCTTTGCAACGAATTAACGACGATTGTGTGCTAAATCGTCGTTAATTTGCGACGACAATAATTCGTTGTAAAAAATCGTTGGTAACTCTGTCTTTTCTTGTAGTGTTAGACCATCTTTAATGGGAGGATTTTAGAAGAAGCTCTTTATATTATATGTATAGAAAATAATAATTAAATATTATAGAGGTTTTTAAAATAGGAGAGAGGATATCCAAAATCTCTTGTTTCAGAACCTCTTTTTTATGTATTTAAAGACTCTTCTATTTATTTTGTACATGATTTTATTTTATATTATTGTTTTAAGAACTCTTACACTGTTTTCAATAACCCATGGTTGGAGATGATCTTACTTATATTATAATCGATAGATACACGTACAAATTTCTGACCAAAAAGAAAAAGAAAAATACAAAGAGCAATAGAGCATACATATTTAGGCCAGTCTAATATTTAATACTAAAAAAGCTTTGTATATTTTTTGAAAATAGATAGTAGTTGATACTTGATAATTATCTTTTTCAGAGGGTTGAGTTACGTTGTAGCTACCATATTTATGGTGGCAATAAATGAAAGGATTTTACCACTAGCGCCTACGTGTGTCCCACATAATATCATAAGAATGTTTATATTATCTTATATTGCTCTAGCTCTTCCAAAGTCAAATGTCTCTTCAAATATCATGTTGCTAGTTTTGACCCGCCTCACGTTTCCTCCTACTACAAAGACACACCCAAAAGTCCAACCAAAGAAATTGGTATATAAATATCATTTGCAGTCACATGAAAAAATTTCACAAAATATAACATGTAAACATGTAGTTATATAGTTGATCTACTAATAAATTAATACTAATAATCATATGGAATTAGTATTATCTCAGACGAACCATACGATTAGGCTAATTCGACAGCCCATTAAGATATAAAATGGGCCTTCAAAAAGGGAAACTGCCTGTCATTTCCTGATTTGTACAACGTGGAGTAGCTGTGGCCTTGTCCCAGTGCCTTCTTCACTCCAGGTTCATCGTACATTCCAAGACCGACGCTTTTGTAAAGGTGAAACCTAAACTGATTAAATCGAATATCTATCTAATTTATATCAATTTGGTACAATTTCATATTTTCTTTTCTATCTCCCATATTATACTTTTAGTTTAAGGATCTCACAGTAATAATTTAGTTTCAGGTTTGTTGGCTATGAGACAAAATTTCGTGCAAGAGTTTCATAACAAAATTTTCGATTCGATTTAAAATCTCTTAAAATGTACAAAGGTGGTTAAATTAAAACTTCACTGCAGTCTCATAATGTTAAAAATATTATTTTTGAGATTTTAACATATTGTAAATTCTGGAAAGACTGATCTATTATTTTTTTAAATGATCTCTTTACATATTATATACATTAAATTTCAAAAGCAGTTTTTTCCTACATTTCAATTTTTTTAATTAAATGTGTACAAAATGACAGAAAAATATACTAATCTTCCAATATCGACTGTTTTTAACATTTTTTACAGTTTTCTACTGCCTCCTTATAAATTAGATGTTGGGGGCAAAAAGTTGGTATCCCTTAGTAATACTGATAGCTACAATACATTTCGAAATAAGTTATTCATTTTCTGAAAATTAATCAAACTAAAGTAATTTAACTAGTAAGAAAAAAAAACTAAAGTGATTTAACTAGTAAGAAAAAAATTAAAGTACTTTTAAGTTTTAACACAAGAAGAAAAACAAAATGGAGAGAGAAGCTTCTTTTGCATATCTGCAGCGTGGACTTTTATACAGCGAGAACGCAAAAGTTTTAATCTTTTATGTTCCCAGATCCGTTTTAAGAACAGAAAAGAAAAAACTCGAAATCTCCATTAAAAACAAGTGAAAAAAACGGCAAAAAAGCGTAGCGAAACACGACACGGATTCACACAGACAGATATATACAAAAAGGATTTTCAGATAGAGAAGAAAAAAAAAGTTTCTTTTTTTGTTTTGATTATTGGGTTGTTAGTTTTTTTTCTTTCTTTTCTTTCTTCTTCCCCTTTTTCTGTGTGTTAATTTTGGGGATCGATGTCGGAAAAGGAAGAACTTCCGTCGACATCGAAGTCCACCGGAGCTCCGTCGCGACCGACTTTATCTCTTCCTCCACGGCCGTTTAGTGAGATGTTCTTCAACGGTGGCGTTGGATTCAGCCCTGGTCCGATGACTCTGGTCTCAAATATGTTCTCCGACTCCGATGAGTTTAGGTCTTTCTCTCAGCTCCTTGCCGGAGCCATGGCTTCTCCGGCGGCTGCAGCTGCTGCCTCCGCCGCCGCTGCGACAGCTAGCGATGGGAATAACAGCTCCAGCGGTGATGTTGACCCGAGATTCAAGCAGAATAGACCCACCGGTTTGATGATTTCGCAGTCTCCGTCGATGTTCACCGTACCGCCGGGGTTAAGTCCGGCGATGTTGTTGGATTCACCGAGCTTCTTGGGTCTTTTCTCTCCCGTTCAGGTTTAGATTCATCAACAAATTTTGTTTTTTTGGGTTAAAAGTTTGAAATTCTATTTATGGAAACTTGTATGTTTATGGCTTTTTTTTTTGTTGAGTTGTTTCTTGTTGTTGCTTGGTTGGCTGCTCAGGGAAAAAGAAACACGTTTTATTAGCAAATCTAGCTAAATTCTAACAAATTTGTAACCATTTGGCTGGAAAATAGAAGAAATGAAAAAACTTTCATACCTTCTTCATTTGAGGTCAAAATTGGAGAAAAAATCAGATTAGAGTTGAATTGGGGTTTATTAGAGAGATTTGGGATTTTCTCATAGAGGAAGGAAGGAACTTTGCAGCTCAAGCTGTATTGAAAAGGTAGGAACTTTTAGAGATCAAGAGAGAACGAATTGTGCTTGTGGATCAGATAGACACATACTCATCAAGATTTGGGCTTGCTCAAGGTTTATACAATAAGATCCCTCAGGAGATTTCTTGTTGCCCTATCCAAAAACCCTGTTCTTGTGACCTCATTTGTTTGATTCTGGAACAATATATTTTCATTTTCGTTAAATTGGTTCCTTTAGACAGGCCTCTGCTATTCTCTTTTAGGCAGGTCTCTGCTGGTTTCATTTCTCTGCTTCTCCTCTGTCTTGACTGTGAATCAATGGACCTAGTGTGCTCGGATTTGTGTTCCCGGTTCTTTTGCTAACCCGAAAAAATGTAACAAATGTGCAGGGATCGTATGGAATGACACATCAGCAAGCTCTAGCACAAGTCACTGCTCAAGCAGTTCAAGCCAATGCCAATATACAACCACAAACCGAGTACCCTCCTTCCTCTCAGGTTCAATCATTTTCATCAGGTCAACCTCAGATCCCGACCTCAGCTCCTGATTCTTCACTACTAGCTCAAAGAGAAACTCCAGATATAAAAATCATCGAGCACAGGTCACAACAGCCTCTAAATGTTGACAAACCAGCAGATGATGGCTATAACTGGAGAAAGTATGGGCAAAAGCAAGTTAAAGGCAGCGAGTTTCCTCGGAGCTATTACAAGTGCACGAATCCTGGATGTCCCGTGAAGAAGAAGGTTGAGAGATCTCTTGATGGACAAGTAACGGAAATCATCTACAAAGGTCAGCACAATCACGAACCTCCTCAAAACACGAAGCGTGGAAACAAAGATAATCTAAATGGGAGTTTGATTAATAACAATCGCGGGAGTTCTGAATTGGCTGCATCACAGTATCAAACCGGTAGCTTTAACAAGACCAAGAGGGAACAACACGAAGCAGCAAGTCAAGCTACGACAGAGCAAGGGTCTGAGGCAAGTGACAGCGAGGAAGTCGGTAATGGAGAGACTGGTGTGAGAGAGAAAGTTGAAGACGAGCCTGATCCCAAGAGAAGGTAAGAATTTAAAGCTTTGTTTTGGTGATGATTTGTGACCCATTTTTTTGTTCGGTTTTTGATGAGAGGAGATATTCGAATGTGCAGAAGTACAGAAGTTCGGGTTACGGAACCAGCTGCTACTGTTGCTGCTGCTTCACATCGAACTGTAACAGAGCCTAGAATTATTGTCCAAACGACAAGTGAAGTTGATCTTTTGGATGATGGTTATAGGTGGCGCAAATATGGACAGAAAGTTGTCAAAGGGAATCCTTATCCGAGGTAATACACGAAAACTCATCGATTGGTCAAGTTATTACACTCTTTGAACGGTGGATAGGAGTGACCAATATAGTATTTTTTTCTTAAAACATTCCTGTAAATATTCTCTTTTTTGATCCACAGGAGTTACTACAAGTGCACAACACAGGGATGTGGAGTGAGGAAACATGTAGAGAGAGCAGCAACAGATCCAAAAGCTGTAGTAACAACATATGAAGGAAAACATAACCATGATCTTCCAGCAGCTAAATCAAGCAGCCATGCCGCTGCAGCGGCACAGTTAAGGCCTGAAAATAGACATAACTTAAATCAGCAGCAGCAGCCCGTTGCACGTCTAAGGCTGAAAGAAGAGCAAATAACTTGAGAGAAGAAAACTCTGTACATCTCTATCAACTCAACTTCCACTCTGATATTTTTCGTGACAAAGTTTTCAGCTTTGATGGAATCTTTTTGGTTGAAGCTGAAGATTTGTTGCGAACAGGTTTCTACATCCACCTTTCTGAATGAGAAAGAGCTTCAGAAGCAGCTGTTCTTGCATGTTCTGGTGTAAAATTTGAAGCTTTATAGGTTTTTTCAGATTTCTGTGTTCTTATGTGAATTCTTTTGTACATGAGGAAGAAAATTACAGGGGGGGTTTTGTGTTGTATCTTTGTGTTATTGTTTCAGTTTATAGATTTTACATTTGTGGATGAAATTCTGTTGTAATGTCAAACTCTGTTTTTTTTTTTTTTTTTTTTTTTGTTTACTACCATATTATTACAGAATAGTTATTGACTTAAATTGCTTGCTTTTGTTTTGCTCATAGTCATTTCTTAGTGAAATATACGGAGCAATTGTTGCTTTTAAGGGGTTTTTTTCTGAATAGTGGAGTACGAATCTATGACGTATGTACAAATGAATCCTTTTCATGAGATTAATAAATTTCGGAGCAAATCTTGTATCTATGGTTACCAAAAAAGACATTTGTTTTTTTCTTTTTCTTTTGTCTCTTCAATACAAATATGTGAAAAAGGTTCTCTGTTTTGCTTTTGTCTCTTTGCACCCCCCATGGACTGATTGATTGATTGTCTCTTTTGTGATCTTTTGTAGTGAATCAGATATGAAAACTCATCATTGTTTGTTAGTTAAAAGCGTTGGAATCTGTCCGTGATTCACGAAATCAATCTTGTTCAGCCTGACACAACACAGTACTTGCTCTGGAAGTTCCTCTGGTGATTGAGCCTGTAACAGCAAAAAACAAAATGTTTACTTGAGCAACACTCCAACCAAAAGAGAACCAACCAAAACATTTTGGGAGATTTTCAACTATCAAGTACCTGAATAGTTAAACCAAGATCGAGAACCCCATTCTTGATCCGATCCCTGAAAGATTCGAGTCCTTTTCTTGAAATGTAACTGAACCTGTGTATATCCAAATCGATCTCAAAGTAGTTTGGTCCCTGTCCAAATGTTCAACACATAACATTACTACAAATCTCTGGAAATGAAATCTCAAAATAGCTATTGAAACAAATGAAAAGATCTGTAATCATTCTAACCCGAAAGAAATCGTGCTGCGGACGAGAAAGAACCGGTTTATCGTTATAAGCTGTGATAAGCTTTCTCTCAGTAGAACTTAGCTGAAGATCCTCAGGATTCACCAAACCTGCCATGATCTTTAACCTCTCTCTGAATGGAACTATTGATTCTCTTGTGAATCCTTTGATTTTCTCCATTTCATCATCCATAAATCTCTGCAAAAAATTCGATTTTTTTTTTTTTATTTATAAAAAATCTCTATTTACAGAAACATATTCAAATAAGGATTGGAGCCATCATCATACCTTGATGGTTTCTTGAAAGTGAGATGAGATTTCTTTGTGATAGTTCTCATTCAGTTTGAAGTATAAGACTAAACTTAGTCCTTCACCATCATAGTCACCAAACATAGAAGTTGGATACATTGGAAGCTGGATGTTCACAATCAAGAGATTGGGGACATCACATGCTTGTGTTGACGCCGGTCTCATGTTAGGGAGCTCAACGTGCTGAGCAATGTGGTTTATCTTCTTGGGACACGCGAAAAGATCGATTCCAATTGGTATGTAAGGACTACAGTTTGGTGCAGGACTCTTTTGTTTGTCTCTGCAAAATGATATAAACAATACAATTACACTGATTACAAAAACTGTTTGTCTACTTTCTTGATCTAAAAATTTGAATCCTTATTAACCTGAAGAAATTCAATCCACGGAGCTTGAAACTCGACGGAGAAAGTTCTGACCAGCTTCCTTGATTGGTCAGCTTCTCACCTAAAGAACGTTGAATCACAGAACCGGCTTTTGGTCGGTACAAAATCTTCTCAGAAGCTGAAGGTGATACACAATCAAAGACATAAGTATCAGAAGAATGTAAAAAAGGTTCCAACTTTGAAAAACATACCAACACAGACTTTTTTCTACTTACATAATTCAGAAGCTGTTGATTTTCTATCAATGGAAGTCCTTCGCACAGAGACCATAACAACTTTTGAGGATTTCTTCCTGTGATCTTGATGATCTTCACAAGTAGTAGTCTTGAAGGTTTCATGATGAGATTCATCAGCCACTTGGTTTCTCTTTATGCTAACTTCATTCTTGCTTGAGTATGCTTCAGATTTGTTTCCATCTATTTTGAGGTAACTTTCGTAGAATTCTTCGTACTGAATCACCTGTCCCATTGCAGAAGGATTTGCATCTGCAAGAAAGATCATCTTTTTCAGTCACAGTCATTTTTTCCACAAACCTAATGTCTCATGTAGAAAATCTTTACCTTCGAAAACACTATTATTTGATCCATCATCAGAATCAGAGTCAATGTAACTAAAGGAATCATACCAAGCTTCCTCATGTGATATTCCTGGAAATGGAAAAAAAAAAAAAATCAGAATTGAGGAAAAACAGAAAGAAAGAAATTAATGAGAGTTTTTTAAAAAAAAGATGTTATTACGGTTTCCATCGATTTGGCTGCAGTTCCATTGAAGCTGAGTTAAATGGAAGTTAGCATTAGACATCTCAGCTCTCTTACACATCATCTTGGCTGCGCCTTTCTCGAAATCAAGATGAACATATTCGTTCACCGCAAAATCTCTAATGCTCGCATTGCTCATGCGTTTCATAGGAACATCTGGCATCGAAGCTGAGATTTTGGACCGACATTTGGTAGATCTGCCACGTTTTTGCTTCTTCTGTTGAAGCTTGTTGCTTAGTTTTCTCTGGGAAGAAACGCAGCCACCCATTTTTTTTTTTTGTGTGGGAGGATTTCTACTACATTCACCAAATCAAAATTCTTTTAAGTAACCTGTTGAAACAATCAAGACATTAGAGACATGATAAGACTACCACACACACCAAATATATATGATCTTGTTTGAAATCAAAATCAAATGCAAAAGATTACCCTTTTTTTTTTAATCTTTCAGAGAGGTCACCTGTAAGAACTTATGAATACATAAGAGAATGCATCAACATTCATAACATTGGGATGTTGATTCATGTATCTTCAAGACCACCTTCATTAAAGAACAAGACAAAATTCGATGAGCGCCTAACATTCTATAATTTGTTGCTTGATTGGTCTTAAAAATTAATTAGCAAAGATCGATGATGACTTATACCGTATTTAACATCAAACCCCAAAAAAATGCAACATTTGAAAAACGTGAAAGGAAAGAAAATCTTGAAAACCCAGTTAAGCAGTGTTTTCGAAGATCAATGATTTAGACGTGAAAAACTTGAGACCCTTTTAAAGAGAGAAAAACAAAAGTTAAATACCCATTAACCAAAACGAAAAATCTTCGTTAAGGAAACTAACCAGAAGAAGAAAAAGAACGAGAAAGAAGAGGATCTTTTGAAAATCCTCTGTTCGTCTTTCTCTTCCCTGCCTCTCTCGACTCTTTGTTTCTGTGTCTTTTCGTGTCAATAAAAGTAAAATTGAATAACTTAAAATAAAAGGAAAATTAAGCAACCCGTTTTCTTCGGATCCCTCCCAAGTCTTCTTCCCCGTTTAATTCTCTATCTCCCTCTCTCTCTCTCTCTCTGCTTTTAATTTCGTTTATTTTAATGATATTATATTTGTTACAGAGAAAGTAATTTTGTTTTGGGATTGACCCATGAACTTCGCGGGTAACTAATAAGCAACGTTTTAATTACAGATGAGATGAGTTATTTACAGCACGTGTCGCCATTTATGGAAAACCTTCTTAATTTCTTAACCTCTTTAATACTCTGTCTTCTTCCTCATCGATGATATTAAATCCACGTCCATTTAAAAATATGTTTTCCCGAACTTCCATAAGAAATTGTTTCCTTTTTATTATTATTCTTATTATCATCGAAAAAATATTTTTCAAGTATAATCAAATTATAGAGTTTAAACGTTTACAATGGTACGTGTAAATTAGGGTAAGTGTTTAGCTTAACAATTATTTGAGATATCTATCCCACTCAGAATATATATTGAAATAGGCTGTATAAGAGATTCACAATGGAAATGCTCTAAAATCATCGAAACGTTGAATCAAAATATTTTTTTCGTATGTGTGAACTTCTCGAGGATCACATGCTTATGTATAACTTTCATTTATTGTAATTATCCCACCAAAATGCATGGAACAAAATCAAAAAGCATTTTTACAGTCTTATAATTACTAAATATCGTTATAAACTTGTTTTTTGGTTTTACAAATATATTATCATTATCATGAAAACATTGAGCGAACTCAAAACGCCTTGTTGAATGTTTATATTCTAAAACCTGTTCCGTTTGAAGATTTATTAGTGTATGATGTGTTTCATTGTGATGGTCTCTGTTGCGATGGATGAGAAGTTGAGAACCGAACTTTTAGTTTTGAATCCGTTGTTAAAAAAAAAACTTATCAAAGAAAATAAAACATGGAGAGTAAAAAGTGAATAAAAGCCTATTAGTTAGTTATTCAAAGTCTTGTTCGCAGGAGGAAAATTCGTCTAAGAGATATATTCTCACCATTGAGTTTTATAGTTTTGTTATATACTGTAGTTTTCAGTGTTTTATTTTAATTTCATGCTCTTCTGGTTGAAGCTGTTGAATGAAAGAGACTTAGCTGATTCTGAATGTTTGTGGAACATAATTTATTTATCGATTTCTAAATTAAACACCTATATAATTCCAACGAAAATGATGTAAAGTAGTTGGGTTGCTCAATTTAAATGATGTTTAGGACTACCAAGCTAGACCAATTCCACTTTGATTTATGTTCTTTTTGTTTCTTTTCTTTTCTTAACTATTTGGTTATTGTTATATCCATTACATATTTACATGTAACTTTCCGATTATACTAAATACAAGCTATTAATATCTTAAATTCCATTTGCAATTATTCTCATGCATCCGCCGTTCCTATTTATACATATCGAATAAATTCTTTAGTTGATAATGATATTATTTATTGGAAAAAGACTCAACAATGGATTCTTGTATATATTTCAACTGTGCTATTTACGGCTCACATTTTATATCATTGATTTGTTCAGTATTTTTTTGCCATAATTTTGCCGGACTTTATATATTCGGAACATTTTTCATTTTTTTGGAAACTATTGTCAAAATTTTCATTAATTGATGAAACAATTTCCGAGAGGAGTTTAATATCCATCTAAACATATTAGCAAGGTTAAATACTAGGTCGCTGGAAAACTGATTTAATAAAATAACTGACATTAATCTTTCTAGATCCAAGTTAGCTATATAATACATGCAGGTTATTACAAATTCCATTTCATCAAAAAGTGAAGTCCGAAAAAATCAAACATTTAACATTTCCATAAAAATATATATATCATCATGAAAGCACGTATTAACAAAATATGTTTTTCGACTGGAAAACTGCCGAATATTTTTAATTTTTGTTGTTGTTGTTGTTGGTTTTGATTAATATTGGGTTTATTCCCCGCCGTTTATGCTACCTTAGAGTTGATAGCTTGATTATAAACAAACAGTTATTCTTTTCTTTTATTTTATTTTATAAGAAAGTGAGTGTGTGGAGTATAATAATAGCCTAATAGGGAGAAAGCTTGTTAGAAGTGAGGCCTCCATTTTCTAACCCAAAAGATACAAAATTAGGTAAGATGAGAAAACATATGGGTGCACCTTTTTTTCTAAGCAAACCAGGTCTATGTACATATTGAGTGATAACTTGGTTAATGGGGTCGGTAAGACGGAAACCACGGACTAGTAAATTGAGTGTCACAAAAATTCGAAACCGCTTATAGACTTATTGTCCAACTTACCATATACTCCTTGCGAATTTTTACAACAACGTTTTATTTTGTTTTTTGTTTTCCATAACCACAAGTGTTTTGTTAAGGTTAGTGAGACAGTAAGTATCGCGATACGTGGAAACTAAAAATATAGTTGATATTTTTGTAACAAAAAAACATATAATTGATTTGTATTGACTATATATTATGAATATCAGAATATGATACATGTATATAAATATATAACTAGTATACAACTACTGTATCTATTTTTAAATTAGTTCATTGCATTTAAAAGTGATTTTTACTGAGAGGGCTTTTTCCCAAAAATATACTCCCTCCATTTCACAAATAGTGTCGTTTTAAGGTTTTATTTTTGTTTCATAAAAAGTATCGTTTCATATTTTCAATGCAGAATTTTAAATAATATTCCAGTTTTGCCCTATTGATTTAATGTATTAATTAGAAGAAAAAAAGTTATTTAATGTATTAATAAAGGATAAAGTAGTATTTTTAATAGTTTTCTTAATAAATGTGAAAAATGTTTAGAATGACACTTTTTGTGAAACGGAAGGAGTAGTACTTTGAATTTGAAGCGGACGAGGAAATGAAACATTAATTGGAAGCTTTGAAGTCCAATTAAGAGGCTTGAGCAGCTGCAAGTGTGGTTGGTAGATTTACAAAACATCGATCAAAGATTCAAAGTGTATCGTGTCACCGTTTATTAAGTTTCTTGTCACTTAAATTTGGTAACATATCATACAAGTTACTAATATTTAAAATCTAAGAAGCAGATATGTACGTTCCAAACAAAAGATATTTACATATCATGCATATGATGAATCATATATTGGTAACACATTGTATTGTATTTAATGGTTGTTCAATTTCTTTTTACACTAATAAAACATGAAAGAGACATGTCCTTCGGGTGCAAGAATACCTAAACAGACAAAGCAAGAGAAGTCATAATATTTTACAATTATAAATGTGGAGATGTATAAATTTTTTATTGTATACTATTTCCTTACATAGTTTATGTTAGACAACTTCATATTGATTAAGATTTGATTATTTTTTCTGTTATAAAATTCTGAAAAGTATTGTCTCCCACTATCCGGAGGAGAAAAGGCAACCACCTCAACAACATCAAAGAAAAATAATTATTGAACTGTTCTGCAGAATTGATATAAAATTATCTAGTATTACAGTTGTATGCAACATACACTTTTAATCTTATTTAATATGATCTGATTATCGTATTCTTTGATTCTGAATTTTAGTATTGATGGTTTATGAAGAAATCGATTTATTATGACATTTGCATCTCCATTAGTTGGGTCCTTATATTATGAGCCTGCTTCAGGCCCATTGAAACTATTATAGTATATTAGGGTCAATGAGGTAAAGCTTCAGATATTTGAGGGTCTAAAATATCAATATATTGAATTACAGACCCTTAAACCTGGAGACACGAGTATATGGTCATACAGGGGTGTTTCCGTAAATTACACCCCTTACTTTATTTTTTACTTTCCTCGGCTCTCTGCTCCCCGAGAAAGTTTTCCTTGCCGATCGTGCTTTCCTCAATATCAACATTTCTGTTTCCCGTCGTCGGAGCCCGTCGATAGATCTCTCGATCGCTGCAGAAATAGAAAGTAAACCACAGATCTCAACTTCTTCGAACTTTATCTTCGTATACGATTGTTTGTATTCTTCCCTCGTCGGGCATCTTTGTTATTCAGTTTTTGAAGTAGATTTCATCTAAGCGTCGAACCTAGTTTTCGTCTTGTTGATTCGCATTGCTGGTTTTTTGCTCCCTATTAGAGATTTAGCGAGACCTGTTTCGAGTTCTCTGCTGTTGATGGGATTTTGCTCATCTGAAGAACTGAAAATAGTATCAGAACTTTCATTTGGTTTCATGACACTGTCACTGATCAGCTGAATTATCTTTAAGCTTATTTCATCTAGATTAGAGTGAGTTTTGAAAACTTTGCGATTTATGGATATGTAGGAATTAGTCATTTTTGCTCATGTGGTAGGACTTGGTTGCTTTGCTGCTGATAAACTAAATTGGATTTGGGTATTCTGCAACATAAGTTACTACTACGGAAGAGGTTACTGTGAAAAATTGATAAAATTATCAGCATGGCTCAGAACATTTAGAATTTCTCTTCTCGTGGTGTATATGTCTGAATTCATAGCGATCTCATTCTTCTGAGAGCGTTGTAGTTTTTGTTGATTTTTGGAATGTATGATGTGAGAGATTATGCGGCTGTATTTCCTCAGAAGCTCTCTAAATAGAATCACCTATCTGCTTAAATAACACACTTAATCTAATTCGTTTTCTTTTCTTCCAGTAATGATTGAGTGTGGCCTCTATCTGTGACGGGTATACTCTCTGGCTGTATTCGCCTTATATTCTGCCAGGAAGATCGTGAGCATCGAAGTGCCTTGGGCTCTGCCAAGATTAGAGCAGATTAGATGGGTCGCCTAAAGTTGCATTCTGGAATCAAGGCCATTGAGGAAGAGCCTGAGGACTTCGAGAGTACTGAGTCAAGTAATACAACCACTTTAGCATGCATGATTGATACAGAAGTTGCTGCTGTTTTGGCGGTTATGAGAAGAAATGTTAGATGGGGAGGTCGATACATGTCTGGGGATGATCA